TTTGAATCTTTTCTTTTGCCTCATACCCCAAACTCAGTGCTAAAGGAGCCGGCAGACTGGAAACACAAGCAGACACAGACTGCAGAAGCCCAAGCCTGCTCTCGACAAAAGGCCCAGGAGAGGAGCAGCTCAAGGAAATTGCAACTAAAGGACCCTGGGAAATGGGTTGAGATCTTTGGTTCTGAGAAACCTTCAAGGGACTAGAAGTGTTTTTCACTTGAGGGTTAGCTTCCTATTTCTTTTCAAACCTGGAGTCCATTTCCCTTTGACTCAGGGCTCCTGGGAGCAAACAAAAGAGGAAACAGGAAATCACGATCAGAATCTTCTGGAAGGAATGGGATATAAAAGAAAAGAGTGTTCCCATGACATTGAGGTTGCTCTGGTGTGTGGAAGGCAATAGGGGGAATGTGGTACCCACTCACCAAATTCTCCTGGAGTGGAATGGACAGAGCTAGAAGTTTCTTTAAACAGTCGTTCCAGCCAACTGTGGATGACACGTAAGGAGGTCCTAGAGGCCACAGATCTCAGGCCGAGTTGAAACAGACTCTGCAGGCATCAAATGTAAAATTATTTTAGCAGGAGAAAGGATAGGTGGCCCTCAGGGCTCTGCAGAGTCCTGCAGACACCAGCAGGAGGCAGCACCACGCGTGGTCCCCTAGCCAGCCTCTTCAGACGTCCCCTTCCAGACTTCCTCTTCCTTGTCTGTTGAGCAGACTCACCAGTCTGTCTGTGCAAATGTGTGTGTGCAGTTCTTAATCACAATTCACCTGCAAACCGGTTAGTGGCACAGATGATGGTGGAGGCAGCAAAGGATGCTCCTCTAGGACCTCTTATCACCCCTGCAGGGGAACCTGTCAGGAAGGGATGGTGAAAGGCAAGGCATCCCCCACATCCTCCTTAGAGATGCTAAGGTCCCCAAGCATTTGAAACCCTATCAGCAGTTACAATCTTCGCTAGAATTGCCAGGTACCTTTGCAGTAGGACAATGTGTTAGACAAGGGTGACGACTCAGGCTGGCTTATGGGATAAGGGAAATTCATTGTCTTGTGTTACTGGGACCCATGGGAGAGATGGCCTCAGGCGGGAATGGACGGGGGCTCCTGTGTTCTTCACAGGACCTTAAACTTCTCTGTCTTAGCTTGGTTCCATGTTAACCCATTCCCTCTACAGCTCTATTTTGCTTTCCTGTGTGGCTCAGCCTGACACCGTCCCATTCTAGGATCCCAGGGTAAAGAAATTCCCCTATGGCCTAGCGGTAAATTTGGTGCACTCTGCCTCCGTGGCCCAGGTTTGGTTCTCAGGCACAGACCCATACCACTCGTCAGTGGCCATGCTGTGGCAGTGACGCACATACAACATAGCACATGATTGGCACAGATGTTAGCTCAGGGCCAATCTTCCTCAAACAAAGAAAAAAAATTATTTTGTTTTGGTGAATAGTCTATCAAATCTGTGTTTATTGCCTGGGGTGATGCACAGCTATCATGTGATAAGACATGTGACATCCATCACGAGAATGTTCAAGCTTCAGTCTTTAATTGAGTCAAACATTTGGTTGTCAGTTAAAAAAGAAAGTAAAATCTCTATATACAAACCAAAAAAAAAAAAAAAAACAATAAAAGGAAAGAAATGTGCTAAAATCATATTCTAATGTTTATATTGGTGTTATGAGGATCATCTCATTAATTTCTGGTTTTCAAGATCTGGGAACAACATAGGAACAGAATACATGGCTGGGAGGGGACTTGTCAGTTTGCTGATGTGCTAGTGTGATACGAATGAACAGCTCCCAGAAGAGAGGCGACTCTTGTTCCTGAGAATCCAAGGGAAGGGGCAGACCGGCTCGTGGGCACCGGGGGCCTGGAGTCCTTCCAGTGGAGAGGGACATTTGCAGGATTAAACTGGTCTGGGGACACAGGCCAGGAGTCCATCTGGGGCAGAGGCAGTGAGTCCTTGCAGGGCACTAGATGAAGGGCAGGGGCTCAGGTGACCCAGGTGGACACGAAGCCCAGATTTGGGATGAGGACTGGGTTACATAATGAGCTGAGGGATGTTGTGGCGAGGGTACTTCGATGGTTCTCTGGGTCTCATGAAGCGATACCTGGGTTCTGGGGCAGGAAACCCAGCTACTGGGAGAACGGTAAATCCTATTACTGAGTGTAGGGTGCTGTCAGGCAGGCACTCAGCCACTGAGACAATGGGGAGACGGCAGAGCATTTAACTCGAGACAGGTGACCTCTGGTGAGTGACATAGGTTGGGATGTATGCCCAGGTGTTTAGATTTCTTTAAATTTTACTTTCTTACGTTTGTTTCTCATATGGTTATACCTGTAATTTATTTTTTTCCCATAAGGTTTAGGGGGTTTTTCTAAATGGAAAAAGCCTCAGAATAGAGCTTTATTTTATATCTCCATTTTCTATACTTTTCAGAAACCTCATAATTGGGTATATGAAAACAAACCCATCCTACAGGTACAGAAATGGAAGACACAGGAAGGAGGGAGAAAATTCAGCCTCTGTCACGTTGCTCATTCATTCATTTATTCGTGCATTAAGAAGGGCAATGTGCTGGTGCTGTATCATCGAGGCCCATGCTTCCCAAACTAGCATCTTTAAAACACATATTGTTGGCCCCACCCAGGTTTCCAATTCAGTAGGTCTGGGTGGAGCGTGATCCTCTGAAGTTCTAACAAGTCCCAAGTGATGTCATGCTGGTGTGAGCCACATTCTTCTCTACCTTTTCCCATCTGAACGAGTGACTTGGGTTTAGAACACAAGGGATGGTTGGGGGAAGAACGAGGTAAATAACACAATTCCCTTACCCACAGCTAATCTAATTAAAGAGTTTTTTCTTTTAGGCAGGGCAAGAACTACAAGTGACTATGAAAAATAAAAAGATTAAAATAAACATAGTAACTATTCCAGGGAGATATAAAAATTAACTATGAGCCAGCCCTGATGGCCTGTTGGTTAAAGTTTGGCATGTTCCACTTAGGCAGCCCAGGTTCGCTTCCTGGTCATGGAACCACACCATCCATCTATCGGTTGCCATGCTGTGGGGGCCACTCACATGGAAGAAGTAGAAGGACTTACAACTAAGGTATACAACAACGCTTGGGACTTTGGGGAGAAGAAAACAAAAAGACAAAAGATTGGCAACAAATGGTAGCTCATGGTGAATCAGTCCCGGAAAAAAAAAAATTAGTTATGGACTGATGAAAAAATAATTAAGGCTACAGAATAGGTTCAAAGTGAAAGTCTGTAAAAAGGAGGGTAATTAACCATTGGGTTTTGTCTTTTGTATTAGGTGTTTGTTCGAAAGAACCAGCCACGCTAAATCTATAGTTTCATGTTTAAATATTTAAGAAGATTTAATCTAAATAGAATCAGTCTTTAAATGCTTAAGAAAAAATGGTTTCAAAGTTGAGTTTAACAAATTGAGCACTAAACAAAGTACTCATTTTTGTGAGCGTAGCCCTCCGTGTTCAAAGCTGATCTGATTTTAAAGAACCAACAAAGATCAGAGTTCATGGCGACCTTCTCCATGTTATCGGCTCACCCATTTATGCCAGAACTAATTTCCAAAACCCCCAGGCACTGCTGTCCTTGTTGTGAGGTCAAAGATGAAGAAAGCCTGGTGTCTACCCCAATTTGCTCTAGGTCCCTGGGAGGGGCACAGGTAGACAAGTCATGGGAATAAGTGTGGGGTGTACCCAGAAGGGCGCAAGGAGAATCAGAGGAGGTCTGGGGGCACCTACCCCGGGGCTGGCTGGGGTGGATCAAGGACGGCTTTCCAGAGGAGTGGTGGCCACACTGACCTCTGAAGGACAATAGCAGTGACTTGGATGAAGATGGGGTTGGTCCTCAGGGAGGGGCCTGTCCTGGGTGAGGGGTGCTCAGGCTGTTGGGAGGGGCGAAAGTTGAAGTAGGAGGGGCAGTGTGGCCAAACCTGAGGAAGCTTGGGTTCCACACTCTGGAGGTGTCTGATTCAGGAAAGCGAGGAGCCACCAAGAGACTCCACACTGCAGAGAGAGGGTTGATGAAGCATACATTTCCGAAGCAGTGCTCTGAGTCAAAATGGAGGAGAGGAACCTGTTGCTGATCTTTTCTCACCCATCCTCACAACATCCCTGGGAAACACATGTGACTGAATGTCGTACGCTGAGGCAGAATGAAGTGGCCAATAGTTGAGTGGCTTTGGCAAGACTGCGATAGGCAGCAACCCAAGTGGGACCAGCTTGAAAGCCTCGCTCCCCACTCACGTCCTTCCCTCTAGAACTTCACTGCCCACTCATCCCATTTTCCAGCAGTGAATGCATCTTGCTGTGACTGTTTCTATGAAGTTCTTAATGCTACCTTTTTGACCAGCTAAAAGTGTTTACCTACTGCTTGTAAATATGTGGATATATACCTCCTCTTCAAAATGGTGTTATACACATAAGCAGACTGCACATCCAAATAAAAACCTTGGAAGAGGGTTAAGACCTTGAGTTAAATTCTAGCGTTTTGGAAATCAATATGAAAGTTGCTTTAATAAGCTTGTCCTGATTTCCATCATGCCAGAACTCGCACCACACTTGGGGGCCTCCAGGCGAATGCTCCTGGGGAGTTAACCTTACTTTGATTAGAGATCTTACGCGCACGACCCTTCAGGAGTGGACTGCAGATCTCATACATAATGCAAACTGCCTGTCAGGCAGATTATCTGACGCTTGGACATTGGTTGCTGACAAAATTATGCATTAGTTTCTTCCCCTGATCTCCACAAACGCTCAAAGTGTTTTTTTTAATCTGTAGAGCAGTGTTTTGTTTCGTTTGCTTTAATAAAAATTCTCAGCATAAGCCGATTCAAAATAATCAAAGCAATAAGCAAGTCCACTTTTTCAGGCGAACCAAAAGCAGATTTCCGATAATGGATTTGTTTTGCCTGTTACGTCTGATAAACAACCTCGCCTCGTTTTCGCAGACCTCTTTAAAGAAAACGCCCTCATCCAGTGTAATTGCAGTTGAATGCTTTTATTTTTCCTTCAAAGCCAAGACAGCACATTATTCTTGAATTACTTTAAATAACATTACCGAAGTATTGAGGACTACAATAATGTGCACACCATAGCCTTTAGGACTGAAATAATTATTGGCACTAAAATATGATATTTAATTTGCGTCACATAAAAACCTGAGTACATATGGAAAGAATTTACAGAAATGTACATCTTGCCCTAAGACCTCTCAAGAAATTATTCCTTTCCTGTGTTCTGGGGACTCTCCATTTCAGGAGAAAATCAACTAAATGCCAATTTGCTTCTTATCTTCTAAGCTGCCTGCAAAATGGCACAAGAAGTAAAGAAGTGGTCATTGCTTTCACTTTGAGATTAAAAAAATCAAGAATTTCAGGAGGTGACCTATTGCCCAGGCAGCGATGGGCCATGAGACCCACATCACCCTGACCCTGGGGCAGACTCCCCGTGGGTTGGCTTGCAGTGGCTGGAACTGTCTTCCTGTCCAGCCCAGCAAAGTCATGGGCATCGGTGCTGCAGGACGATGGTGGGGACCAGTCAGGCTGAGCTCACGTCATTCAGGAGGGGTGAGGGACGCCTGGAGTGGGCTAAGGACAAGACTGCACGGAGTGAGAGTACCCCAGAGCCTGTTAATCAGCTGACGCGAGGAGCTGGCCCTGCTGAGCACCAGGCTTCATCCTCCGCCCTCCTGGGCCCATCACATGGCAGAGCTGGTTCTTGAGATGAGCAAAGAAGCCATCTTGCTGGGGGTCCCAGACGTCATTCTTTCAGCCTCCTGTTCTCTGACCAGTGTTGATCTAACCACTTTCCCTAACCAGGAAACCCAGGAAGTAGGATGTCTCTTCCCTTACAATTTCTAGATGACTTGGGTAATCTGAAACTTTTGTGTGGCTCTCCATTATTTGGGACAGTCAATGTATTATTAGTTTTTTGTTTCTGTTCTTGCAAAAAATACAGTTGGAATTCACACGTAATATTGCGTTTTGAGCGATGGTCTTACTTCTTGTCCAGGATGATGTTTCCAGTCTCGTCTTTGATCCTAACCCTACCAGAGGCGTACTTGGTCTCCTGGTGGCCGTTGCAATACACAGTCTTGCTGGTGCCATCGGGGTATTCCCTCCTCTTGAACTGGGCCGTGTGGATTTCCCTCTGCCCGTTGCTGAACACGATGGTTTTGTCGCCGTTCCTGGTGGAGGAGAATGATATTGTGAGTCAGCCTGCACAGCAGCCAAAGCTGCCAGCGTGGAAGCAGGTGTGCCTGAGTGACATGAGCACCCAGCTCTGGATCACCCACTCCAAATCTCGGTGGGTGAGGGTAGAGAATATGCAAAGGCCAGAACAGTGAAGGCAGCCAGTGGATTCAGGGTACTGACAGAAACTCATGGGGGCTGAGAACAGGCGTGTGGGAGAATGCCAGGAGGGAGCACTGGGGAGGACTATTGAGTTTGTTCATATGGAAAGTTTGATCTTGAAGGTGAGAGGACAGGTTGCAGGATTTTATATGGGGGGGTGACATGAACATGCTATACTATCATTCAAGATAAACGACCACAGAGGCCATGTAGACTATACTGATGGCGTGACGACAACTGGGGAGGAGTCAACTGCAAGTCCAATGGAGATATGACGAGGGTTTGTGGTGGCAGAACTGGAGGAGAGGAAGAGTCAGAGGTCACAGCCCACAACAGTTAGGCGCCATTGGCTGTCAGAGTCAAATGAGCAGGAGAGTCTCAAACAACCTCTTGACCCACGTCGGGGACGGGATGGGTGGGGCTGACCTCAGGGCCTTTACTCTCTGCACACACTGGCATCAGCAAATAGCAAACCCAGTGAGCACTTTCTCGGCGAGTCTTAAACAGTTGTTTAGATGTATTCTACTGTGGACTCAGGCTCCCAGACGACATGGTCTCAGGTGGCCATATGCGGAAGACCAAAGTTATTTTTATGGTCACAATTCAAGCATGATGGATGTCAGTGAAGAAAACAATTAAAAATCAGTGTTTGCGAGGTCAGCCCAGTGGTGTAGTGGTTAAGTTCACGTGCTCCACTTCAGTGGCCCAGGTTTCTTGGGTTTGGATCCCAGGCGCAGACCTACACACTGTTTATGAAGCCATGCTGTGGCAGGCATCCTACATATAGAGTGGAGGAAGATTGGCACAGATGTCAGCTCAGGGCCAATCTTCCTCAGCAAAAAGAGGAGGACTGGCAGTAGATGTTAGTTCAGGGCCAAACGTCCTCCAAAAATAAATAAATACACAAATAAATAATTGAGTTAATTTTAAGGAATTATTGACTACGCAAACCAAAAATTTGGGAGAGTTCAGATTCACATCACCTGTCACAATACTGACCTTTCCACACTCACAGTTGTCCCGTCAGGAAATACAATCTCTTCTTGTCCGTCTTTAAGATGTTTCACTGTCCCATCCGGAAACATGATTTCCTTTGAGCCATCAGGATAGAATTTTTCTGCAGAACACAATTTCTAAAAATGTGTTACATGGTATTTAGAAACATATTATGTCTAAACAAACTGTAAAATATTATAGAGATTGATTAAAAGGAGAGGATTTTCTTTTTTTCTTCTTCTTCTCCCCAAAGCCCCCCAGTACACAGTTGTATATTCTAGTTGTAGGTCCCTCTGGCTGTGCCATGTGGGATGCCATCTCAGTGTGGCCTCGTGAGTGGTGCCATGTCCGCGCCCAGGATCCGAACCAGCAAACCCCTGGGCCGCAAAAGAAGAACATGCGAACTTAACCACTCAGCTATGGGGATAGCCCCAAAGATTTTCTAATCATCTGAGCTTATAACTAGCATTGCCAGGTATAGTACAAAATGTCCAATTAAATTTGAATTTCAGGAAAATGACGAATAATATTTTAGCATAAGTATGTCCCAAATAGCGCATGGACATACTTACGCTCAAAACTTATTTGTTCTTTATCTGACATTCAAATTTAACTGAAAGTCCTATATCTTTATTTGCTAAATATGGCAACCTTACCTTTAACAAAAGTTTAAGAACCTAAGGCTCGCATGAAAATAGTCAAGAAAAAGCACTCTGTTAACAGCCAGGATTAAGTTTGCTGTGTCCACTGTTCCAGCCAGAACAGGAACAACATGCAGACCAATCTTTGCACATTCAGCAAATGTATCTTCCTAAACTAGGACATTTGTGGCAACACTTGGCTGCTCGATACACCTTGTAGTGATCCACTCCAATAGATGAGTGACATTCAAGGCCTGGTTCTGTACCTTACTCATTCGTTTTTTTATTTATAATTGAACATCTTGCTCCAGGCAGACTGATTTCCTCCGTCTCATTAAGACACAAAACCTAGATTCCTCCAACTTTGCTCCAATAATCTCACTGACTAAAATTCTCCTTTCCTTCCATATGCTCTCTGGCTCTCCCGATCCTACCCTTCAAGGTCCAAGGTCATCGTTAGTCCCACAGCAGGTGACCTTGGGCCTCTGAATGCCTTTGACCCTTAGTATTGTAAACATTCTCCTACTTTTTCGTACTGACTTGGGATGTCAGTCTAGAGAATGAATTGTGGTAAAGAACTGTGCCTGACCCTCCACAGTGACCTCCACAGATAACACTGCTCTTTAACCCCATACAAGACAGAACCTTTAAAAGTCACAGGGCTTATGGCAGAGCGTACTGGAACACTGCTACACCGAATTTTATTATAGGAACAAAGACATAATTAAATTGCATGCATGTGACATAAATCACTATTTGCATATGTTTGTGAACAAAAGAAAAGCTGCTAAATCAAACTTAATTTGTCAGCTTCTATTTGTTCTCTTAATATCCATTTGCTTCCTTTTTATTCGCTTTGTCAACTGTTAGCAGTTGCTGGCAGACAATCAGCAGCACAGAAGAACTTAAGAGAAATAATATAGGTGAGGAATCTTACAACTGAGGAAAAATTCTGCCCATTAAAATAGTGTTTAGCACAAAACTGTAAAAGATTATTTTTGTGTGGTGTGTGGATGGAACACCCAGAAGAAACTGGGGGGCTCTTCTTTGGGACAATATTTTTGAAAACCACTGAATACACAGACATCCTGGTGTGGAATCATACACAAGACTGCTGATTTGTATGAACTTCCAAGAACATGTGTGTAACACACAATTGCACCTCTAAAATGACAGGAGTGGGAAACAGTGGGGCCTTTGTTTGACTCTGCTCCTGAAATGTCAATCATAGGCAGAAGCATTGAAGATACGGGAAATGCATCCAAGAACAATAACAAGGCTTAGAATTCCTGCTGGAAAATTAAGTGATGTATTAGAGACATTCTACATGGACCAGCTGAGATGCAAAGAGTTTAAAAAGCTTAGGGACAGAAATGAAATACAGATCTATAAAAATATTTTTCTTTTTCAAAAGACGTGAATTAACATTAATCAGTCACCCGATATGGCATTCGTGAATGAGCAAGTGTAATTTTTCATTGTCGAAAATTTACTAAGGCCACTGAAGAAAGTGATTGCTCTAGTGTCTGCCTCTCTGCTTATTTGCCTAGTCAGAAACTAAAGGACAGATTGTGAAGGCAAAAGTCCCAGCAAGATACACCAGGCATTGGCTGGAAAATGAGGACACCAAGGAAAAGGGTGGACCTGCTTGGGGGTATGTATGTCATAGGTGATGACGTGTTTAAAGATGACCTTGGTTCTCTCTTGGCAGCAAGGCGGATCAGATACTCTGAATACACTCACACTGCAAAATATCCAGTAATGCTAAATAAAATAACATGAAACATCCATCTAAATGAAGACCCACATTCGTGGAAAGGGCCAAAAATCAGAGAGATTGCTGAAAAGCAGACAAGAATCTTGATGCTAGAGTGGTTGTGCTGTTTTTGCTGATCTCAGGATCCAAGAGGCTCAACTCTTAGTAACTCTACTGGGAATGGGAACTTAGCCCCTGCCTAAAGATGACACTCTCACAAAGCCATACCCCCAATAAAATGGTGGTCCTAGCAAATGGAGGGACTAGGAAAATATCTGCCTGTTTCTGAGCTCTCTGAAGAATTTATAACCACAGGCTGACCCTCAATTTCAATTGAGTTTAGCAATTTTGGGGACTCTGAGACACCCCAAACTAAGAAACAACTATAAAAGGGTCCCTGGCTGGCAGTGCCCTGGAGCGTCTGGCAGAAGCAAACACAAAGCTTTCCAGATTGACATCCCCAAACTGAGCCCCACAGGATTTCCACCCAACAGGAGCCAAGAATTCAAACTACAAAAACAGGGAGGGAACATGATGCCATGAGGAAGTGTCAGCAGACAGCCAACCTGTCACCAACGCCATGTGGAGCTCCAAAGCTATATGCATGATGTCACCAGAAACAGGCTATAAAGTAAACAAGTGTAAAATATGTTAAGAGTTAAGGAAGAAATTGAAAACAAGAGAGAGAAAGATGATATTAGCAAAAAAGACCAGGTAAATTTGAAAAAGACTGAAAGGAGGTGAAATATATAATTTTTAAAATTAAAGCTAAAAGATGTGTTAAATAGCATATACTATTTGGCTGAAGAGAAAATTGATGAAGCAGGAGACAGCATTAAAGTTAACCAGAGTGTAAGAAAGACAAAAAGAAAATATAACGTGAGAGGAGACAGGAAGGTTATCATAATTGTAACTGAAGGTACAGAAAGTGAAAGAATGGAGGGAAACTAATGTTGGTAAAGACCAAAGCTGAGAACATCCCTGAACTTGTGATCTGATGGTCAGATAAGACAGAGGAGAGGACACCCAGTTAAATCTGAATTCCAGATAAAGTATGTCCCACGTGTGTGTTGCATAGAACATGGTTTTAGTAAGCAATCATTTGTTGTTTACCTGAAATTCTAATTTGACGGGGCATCCTGACAAGTCTGGCAGCCCCACCTTACGGAAGACATGAATCACCAAATCTAAGATGCCCAACAATTCCTAATACAATGAATCCAGGTAAACCTACAACCAGACACATCGTAACAAACCTGGAGACAGAACATTTCTTAAAAGCAGCAAGAGAGAAAAGAAAAAAACTACTTTCAGAGGAAAAAATTAAATGCACATCAGACCTTCCACTAGATGCCGTAAGGTGGTAGAATAAAATCTTCAACCTGCTGAGAAAAATTACTTGTTGTTCTTTTCCTCAAAATTCTCCAGGGAATTTCTCTCAGAATAAAAGTCAAAGTTCTCACAATGGTCCACACGTTCTGGCTCCTCTTTTCTTTGACCTCATTTCCTCTATGCTGTCCTTACTCCATCCCTGCCAGGCTGGCCTCCTTGATTTCCCTCAGACACACCAACCACATTTCACTGCCTTTTCCTTTTTCTAGAATGTTCTTCCCCTGATATCCACATAGTTTTCTCCCTCTCGCTTCATCCATGTCTCTCTTTAAATATCACCTTTTCAGAGAGGACTTCCCGGATCACCCTATAGATAGAGTGTGGACGATAACAGCAAGATATAAAATAATAATGCCCCCTCTCTATGCACATTCCCTTCTCCATTATCTGCCTTTTTATTTTTCTCCATAGCTTTTAATAGAGCCTGATTTTTATTGATTGATTTTTACCTGTTTGTTGTCTGTCTCATTCCAGTAAAGCTTCATGAGTTAGGAATGTCTTAAAATTTTGCCCTAAAACAACCCCTGGCCCGGGGTAGGCACATAATAAATATCTATTGAGTAAAAGATGCAGAATTGCATATCAAGACAAATTCTCCTTCATGAACTAAGGTAAAATAAAGGACAATTTTCAGACGAAGGAAAACTGAGTTAATTGCCCCATCTGAGAGATGAACTTTAAAAGGAAGGAAATCACACCAAAAGAAAGGCCTGTGATGCATAAAATAACATAGAGCCAGGAAACCTACATAAATGTGAAAAAATCTAAAATAAACATCGACCGTATAAACACAGTAATAACTGTGTCTAATTTTCAGGGTGAAAAATGCGCTAGAATTAGAATACTGGCTGAAGCAAGCAGAACAGCATGAAGGATGGAAGGGAGTGATTAGAATTAAAATGCTCCAAGCTCTTTGTGGAGGGCAGTCAGTCTACCAACAAATTTTTTTTTTTTTTGGTGAGGATGATTGGCCCTGAGCTAACAACTCTTGCCAATCTTCTTCTTTCTGCTTTAGGAAGATTGTCACTGAGCTGACATCTGTGCCAATCTTCCTCTGTTTTGTATGAAGGACACTGCCACAGCATGGCTTGATGAGTGGTGTGTAAGTCTATGCCTGGGATCCAAACCTGTGAACCCCGGGCAGCCGAAGCAGAGCACGAGAACTGAACCACTACTCCAGCGGGCCTGCCCATACTGATAAATTTTTTACTTGTGAAATAAACCTTCCAGTTAAAGTAAAATTGTCTTCGGATTGTGTTTTTTAAAATTTTTCTACATTGCTTATAAGAACACACTTAAACATAAAGATTTAGAAATAGCAAAAGAAAAAGAAATCCCAGACAACAGTACCAAAGTTAATGGCTATGAATTTTCCAGAATGGATGAAAAAATATGACTTTATCCATCTAAGAAACACAGCATATTCCAAACTGAATAAATGAAAAGAACTCCTAGGGACATGTTATGGGTTGCTTTGTGTCCCCCCCAAAGTTCCTATATTGAGGTCTTAATGCCCAGGAACTCAGAATACAGGCTTATTTGGAAATAGGGTCATTGCAGATGTAACTAGTTAAGATGAGCTCATACTAGAGGAAGGTGGGCTCTAATCCAGTATGGCTGGTAACATGCTCAGAAGTATTAAAAGTTAAAGGGGCACCGATATATGAGCCCACCCTCAAGGGGATCAGAAACGATCACGAACATATCCATGTGTGTATGTCCATGTACACATACGTGCACACGTTACCTATACGCAGAGAGAGAATGGCAAAGCAGATGTGGCAAAAGGTTAAAAATTGGTAAATCTGGATAAAGAGCATACAGGAGTTCTCTGTGAATCCTTTAAGTTTGAAATTGCATTAAAATAAACAAATACATTTTTTAGAAAAAAACCCAGAGCCAACAAAAAATAAAGGAACTGGACAACACAGTTAAAGAGTTTGATCTGATGGATAATACAGAGCAATGCCCAAGAAGGAGAGCACACGTTCCTCCCCAGCTCACGCAGAGCCAGGACATCCAAAAGAATGACGTTGAAAAAAAACAGGAACCACATAGACCATGTTTGCTGAATATAACACGTAAGTCAACTTAGTGATATGAAGGAATTAAATGAACAAAATTGAAATAGAGGGGAAAAGGACCACATTGCGATTCATTTCCAGGATCCACAAATATGACAGAAATATTTGATCATTTCCTGAGTGCCTGGTTGCATAGTGACCCACCACCTTACCCTCTGAATGATGATGTTCGTTTGGCCCCAGAGGATTCTGTGCCCGACACTCGGTTTTCACAGGCAGAGCCAACTGTCCTGGACACACCCCTTCTTGGGTTGATTAATTGTATTTGCCAGAAAGAAAAAGAACAGCCAGCTAAATGTGAGAAAACTAGGCGAGATCACTTGCAGGCTATTGGTTAACCTGACAGCTGATACTGAAGGTGGTTTGGATTCTGTGGGTTATAGACTCAGAGAAGGACTCCCCCTCTTAGCGTGGGGAAGTCTTGGTTTTGTATAATTTCAGCTTGTTTGTTCTGAAAAGCTGAGGGCAGTACCAACCCATCTCCGATTAATCGTAAAGAACAACAAAATCGTGAAGCACCTGATAAATACGATACTTTTGTGGTTTAAGGACACAAAGGCAGAGCAACGAGCCCTTTGAATTAAACAAATAAGCCATCGCTCGAGCATCAAGCAAGGAAGCTGGTCCTTCGACACAGACACCGGCTGTGGCTGCTCCTCTGAGAGTTACGCCTTCTCTCATGACTTGCAAATCGGCTCCGAAGGCAATGTTAAAATTATTTGCAGCGGTCAGCGAGGATATTTAATGACGTTCCATAGGAAGCATTCAGCCCAGTGCGGGCTCTATTCTCAAACTGACTCCTCACCAGGAAGTTACACTTTTCCTGTGCCAAGCAGCCAGATTTAACTATTTCTGTTGCTACAAGCCAGGCAGGAAACAACACAATGCACAAGATCCAGAAGGGCGGAACGTTTTCACAAAGAACGGTGACGGCCCGGCTGAGAATGCGGGAGGGTGAGAGAGCTGCAGAGCCACAAAGACAGAAGGCCGTTCCAAAGTCCACAGGAAATTAGCCGCAGGGAGTTTTTGCACAGAGTATTGGAGTTGGCAGATCTGCTTGGCACCATAATTAAGAAAAACTTGTATTTACAATGCAAACCCGCTGCCACTGCAGAGGCTGGAAAAAGAGGTCCCACTTGGACTAAAGGCTTTGAAGCAAGGAAGGGGGCTCTGGGTGGAGCAGGGCGTAGGACAGGAACAGCATGGGCCCCCCACCCCCGACCCCCGCCCGCCCTGGAAGTGGCTCAGGACTAACTTGGACAAGGACAGCAAGAGTGATCAGAAGAGCTTCAGCTCTTAACCACAGCTAGCATGGACCGTTGCCACCCACACCTCACGATAGAACCTAGAAGATAATATCAGACACATTCTATAGCTGGTTCTCATACGTGTGTAGTGAGACGCATATATAAGTCGCATCACATGGTGTAGATTTAGTTGATGTCCACGTAACCCCTTTGTTGAGTTTTTAAAGACTCAGGCTAAAAATCAACAACCAAACCTCCTAGTTATTGAGATCCTATGTATTTTCCCAAAAGATGGGCTAAGGAGCATATTAATGCATAGTCCACGAAAAGAGCATACTGTGGTGACCTACGTTTATGAAACAATGAACACTATTTCTTCTCTTCCCTTCCCAAGGAGCCTCAATCACAAAAGAATGTTCAAGACGGGGTGAAATGCAGAAAGAAAGATGGTTTAGCTTCACATAATCCAGCACTTTCCAAATCTATCTGCTGGGCCAGGCAACTCTTGCTGCTGCTGTTGCTGTTGGCAAGTGTTCTAAGAATAGTTTGGGGAAACGGTATCCTAGTTTCAAGAGTCGGGGCGCCCCACCCAACATTTGGGGGATGGAGGAGCTCCCCAGACACACAGCTGCCCTTGAAGCAGCCTCTCTAACGAGGCTTGTCCCTGGCAACACCACTCCTGGCTCACTGGATGGCTTGAGCCATCTGAGAATTCGTCGCCTACCCCCCTGGGTCCCCTAACAGTGGTCCATGGCTTGGTTCTCTGACTCACGTGCTTTGGATGATGAGACTCAAACAAGGAGGTCAACCTGCCTGGGGTCACCCAGCGAGGAGTTGAACGTGGCTGACGGCAGTCTCCGGGTCAGCGTTTCTCTGACCTCATCCCCTACTCAACTGTGTCCCCACTGGATTAACCCTAAACCCTGTCAACGTCACTGCGGTGAACACAGCATCAACTCAGGTGTAAACTCCAGCATTAAGTCTTTTTATTTTGTTTTGCGATTATGGTTAGACTGCTTAAAATAGGAAAAGGAAAGCAAGGAATGAAATTCAGACCAAAATATCCATTTCCTAGAACTCACTTTCAGATTAGTTTATAAGTAAGACTTGTAGGGACATTATAACTGCCGGAGAGTTCACCTAAAAAACTCCATTGACTGATCACAACATATTAATAAGCAATTTAAGGCCTTCTGCGTAGCGAGCATCCTTAGTGCTGGTCGCACCCACAGAAGAGAGGGCGGGTTTTCAACAGCAGGAACGAAGCATGTGGCTGCACAATGTCAGTGTGCATCCAGCATCTGTGTCTCAGGGAGATGTCTGTGAAAAGGGCAGATTTTCTGGTCTAAATTCCAGCCTTTGTTGGAGCCATTTGGGAGCTGCCCACGGCCAAGAAAGGCCAGCTCAGCGAGAAGGTGACCACCATTGGGCACTCCTGCGTACGGCAGTTCTGGGAGACGCTCGGCCCCATGCTGGCCGCAGGAAGCCACCCTGAGGACACAATCTTTTGGAAATCTGCAAAACTCAGCCCAGAATTAGGGCTTTGTAAGTTTCAACAGGGAGGGCAGCAACTCAAGAAGACAGAAATGCCTCCTATTTCACAAAAGCAGCGGTGATAAATACAGGGGACAGGGAAAACGTTGGGAATGCAACCTACTTCTAATAACGAATTATTAGGAAGAATTATTAGAAAGAAATAACAATTTCTTAAAAATGTACTCCAGAGGTGAAATTCACGTTCAAAGTTCTAGTGGACGATGACGGTGACGTTGGTGATGACAGTGGTCCTGAAACCGAGCATCTTGTAAACGGGACAGCTGTCCATCAGTTTGCTCCATGCAGAGAGCTGCGTTCTCACAGGGTATTCAAATCATTAATGTGAAAAACAAAAATAGGGATTCAATGCAATGAGAGAGAAAGTTAAACCATTATAGGATATAGCAAATTCAGAAAGTCGAAACCCTCAGGGTTTAACCAGAGCATTGCATTCCAGCGCCCCAGTAGCAGCTGAGAAAAGAATTTGACAGCCTGTGAGAGAATGAAACAGTAAAGCTAATGGCATGCCGTTCATCTGGAATTTTGCTCGTGCTGTTCAACCATGCCCGTGTGGAAAAGCCAAAGCACAACCAGCTGCCTGAGGGCTGATGGCATTGCTTCGGATTTGGGGGACCTGGGAGCATTTATGGACGCACACTAAAGCAGCAGACTCATAGTTATTTGATAAAAATCAGGAAGAAATGCATACCTGGGTTTTCATTAAGTAACGTAAGCCCCAAATTATCTGGACAGTGGCCACCACGGAGAACTTGCCTAAAAGGCACCTGGGTCTGGTAAACCTACGGTTTCCGCCCAGAGCGCCCTGCATATCACGCACACATAGTAGGCACGCAACTGCTGAGGTTTATGGTGACGGCACTTACCTGTCAGCCCGTTAGGAAACTGCACCACTTCCAAACCATTGGGATAGATCGTGTGCGTCGTCTGAGCACTCGCATGATGATATATCTGTAAGCACCAGGAACAGTTGTGTTGCGATGCAGTTTGCGCTACTGTTTTGAACCCAGATTTAACCCAGGAAAGTACTCCCTGCACAGGGGAGGGGCCTGATCTGTCCATGAGAAGGGAGTGGGGACTTTGGAAGAGGAGGGTCGATCAAAATAATCCATAACCAATCTATCAATGAAAATTTGGGTGAGTTTATTCTGAACCAGATCTGAGGACTAGCTTAGCTCGGGGCCTTCCTTCCCTAAGGAAGGGCGGGCGGCAAAGAAGTGGGGTGCGTGGAGTGGTTACATACTGTCTTGGATCAAAGAGCATACATTGCGTATGATAGGAATGTCCCTTTTACAACAGTCACGAGATTGCCTAGCCGGCACAGCACAGCTGTTCACACAGCTGGGTGGCAGGTCTACTGTCTCCAGCTGGGTGGTCACAGGGTGGGCACAGCAATCAGTTCCTAATGTAGGGAGAGATGCTCATCCTTAAGGAAATGTCAATGTCGGGGAAGTTGCATCTTTATCTTAAGACCATTTGTTCTTGTCTTTGGGACACAGCAAATGCTTAAAGCAGATATACAAGCCGTGCTCAGCGGCCACATCAGGTCCTTTTGGAAAAAAAAAAACAAGATCAGGCCTGAGCTGGCCTGAACCATAAAGGAGGGAGGGGAAAGTCAAAAAAAAATAAGGAGATGGAAACAAAAATCTGCATAACTTATACGTTTGATTTCAGAGTAGAGAACTTAGAAGGAAGAAGTTTCGCTCCACTCCCAGCTTAGGGATCCTGGCACGGCCCCTTCACAGGGTCATCTACAGTGGCAACCTCTGCCCATCAGGAAAAGAGGCTGAGAGAACACACGGAGAGAATGTATTAAATAAAGTTGAATTACTGGAAAAAATCGTTACTGAGATTTAAAGGACTGAGCTGTTCCAATGTCTCGAAGGCGTTCTTCTTCTTGCAAGGATAATTGGTTCGAAAGGGAGATGGAAGCAGAGAATGCTGATTTCTCCATCATTTCAGCACGGATCATGTTCTGCCCAGGGCTCCTTTCAAGGCCCGGTTTTCCCTCCAGACCAAAGAGATTACAATGGAGAAAAGCAGTGCCCGCTCAGTAGGTGCCCTGGGAAGGGGCACTTTGCCTCCAACGACTCTTCACTGTGACCACGCGAAAGATCAAGAGGGGAGCATTTCCTTCCAAGGACGGCACTGGGGTCCTGTTCTCCCTGGCATCTCATCTTCATCGTCATCTCCATCAATTCTTGGATTTGTCCCAGTCTTTGCATCTCTACACTCTCCTGAGTCTGGCTAAGAAACAGCTATTTGCTTCCCCCAAATGAGGGAAACTCAGGGTTCAAAGTTTACAAAGAGTATGGGACTGGCCCCCCAGCCGAGCAGTTAAGTTTGCGGCTCGCTTGGGTGGCCCGGGGTTCACTGGTTTGGATCCCACATGAGAACCTACACACCCCTCATCAGGCCATGCTGGGGCGGCGTCCCACGTGCCACAACTAGAAGGACCCACAACTGAAAATACACAACTATATACTGGAGTTTGGGGGAGAAAAAGAAAATTTAAAAAAGAGGAAGATCGGCAACAGATGTTAGCTCAGGGCCAACCTTCCTCACCAAAAAAAAAAAAATTTACAAAGAGTTGAGGTAAGTTACAAGATCAGCATTCACATATTATTCACGGGCTTGAGACATAGTAAAAATCCACCATTCCAATGGGGTCTTCCAGACTCTCTTTGTTTGCATTGCCTTGCAAAAAAGGGGATGTGCGGGTTAGCTCAGACCAATGAAAGAAGGCATGGCGGGTGACACGACTGCAGCACGCTAACATCCGCCCTTGGGAATGGCCAGAAGGCTTTAGCTGGGGGTAAAATAACAGAGCGATGAGCAGATCCCTCTAATTAAAACCAATAAAACAGAAAAAACATGAGCTCCACAGTCATTCAGAATTCCCAGGGCCCTGTGCTTCTGAATGTTTCTCAAAGCTTGGGGAAAAGCACTAAAGTTGATTATTCTGAAAGATTTTTTTAAAGAAATGCATAGAGTACAATTTGGTAACGTTTCAATACTAAAAGAATGTTGTCAATCTACTACAAACCTACCCTGATCTCCAGGCCTTATTTATAATGATTCTTTATAAATTACCCAGTTTTCTTAAGTTAGAATGGAGTTAAACCTTGAATTATTGCCTCTCTGGAGACCTTGTCTGTAAAACCCCCAAATTCTGCTGAATCTATTTTCCCCATATCTAGTACCCTAACATCACACAGACATGCTGGATGTCCTGTTGGGGTCACACGCGCATCACAGCTCCCCGACATCAAGCAGGCCTCTACCTACGATGATCTACAGCTCACCTCCACATGGCTATCATCCACCATTACTAGTTAGAACTATGAGTTACCAACTATCAGTTAGTGAGGTCTTAACATGCACCAAGCCATACTTGTGGGTCTGAATTTAGACCTTCTAATAACCCATAATGGGTTTTCCCAATCTTGGCACAATCGACAATCTGGGTCGGATAGTTCTGTGTCATGGGGGACCATCATAGGCCACCATCCACCAGATGCAATAGCAACTCCCATCACCCGCAGCTGTGACAACCAAGCGTCTCCGACATTGCAAAGGTTCCTGGGGCTCAAAATCGCCCCCAGTTAAGAACCACTCACCTATGAAACAGGAATTTCCTGATTTTTCAGATGCAAGAACAGAGGCGTGATGAGATTAACTTGCTCACATTCTATACACGGTCACTGAGAGCGGTTCAGCCCCAGATTCCTGTGGCTCCTAGACCCGTGATTCCTGCTGCACCCAGCACCCAGCGGGGGGCTACAGGGAGACTGGCCCCTCCTCCCATGGGACTGGGTAGAAGCTGCTGGACTGAGGAAACGGAAAACCATCGCTTTGATCTGACCTCCAGCCTGTACCAGGTACGAGTTCATGACCCTGCCTAACTTTACAGCAATAGTAAATCTAATTCTTCAATAAACGCACATTCACTAAGTGTTTGCTATTGTGTTCCTGGAGAAACTGAGGCAGGGGCATCATTAGCATACTGTGTCATTTAATTTTCATAATCATCTTTTGAGTGAGGTCAGGGCAGCTTACCTATCACAAGATGATTGAGCGAGATTCACAACAAGGACCGGTGCCGGTGGCGAGTTTCGGTTCAACGTGGAGACCTGAGGTTCCAGTCAACCAAGACTCTCCCTTGCCCAAGAGCACCTGTCCTACAATAGCCCAAGTAATGAAAAGTCCGTCTTCTGCCCAGTTCCCCATCCCTCATCCTTGAGCCCCCGGAAGAGCAACGGTGCAGATGTGCAAAAATTTTCTGAATAATTGGGTGGATTTTGATTTAAAAAAAAAAAAGACAACTATGTAGATTGTACACACCACTCTCTGATCTGGAAGGATCTTCTTCACCTCCCCGTTAAGAAACCGCAGGACCGTGGTCTTCTTCTCAGCACTGGTGTTGGTGGTCTTCTTGTCAACACTCGTGTCCTTCTCTGTGCCTTTCGAGAAGTTGATGACTTTACAGCTGTCACTGAGCGCCTGCTCCACCTTCGTGAAAACACAAAAGTTCCCAAATGGAAGATTGCTTAAAGCACGATTATTGTGGTTTCATTATTTTTCCTGCCATTCAAAATCATTTTGTGCCCATTGCCTGCATGGCATCTTCGATGCCAATTGTTGTATTTCCACAAAAAACAACTCACTAAATTGATTAGCTCCAAATCCCCATCTCTGAATCTGGATATGAATAATGAATGGTATGATTTGCCGTACAAATGTCTGGCTTTCTTAAAGTCGTGTTATGCAAATTTACCTAGATTATCAAATTATTAGTTGTCAGTCTAGATAATTCCTGGTCATTAAATTTGGTGAATTTGGAAATCCTGGGCCATATAAATTGCAGTAATTACTGTGTAAGCGTTATCCTTGTACATTGTCTTTCCATCCCATCCCTTTGATCCACATTCTCCTTTGTCCCGAAGATCTATCGATTTCAATTAACAATCGGCAAATCTTATTTTACTTCATATGCATAATGCTGAACCAGGAACTTAGAGAAGAATATCTTTGTCTTCAGATTGAAAATATTATTCGTGCAAAGATGAACAGAAGGGAAAAAACTGACAGTAGTAATATCAAGATTTCGCGAGTTAATATTTGAGCCTGTGAAAATTCCAAGTGGTAAACTATGTTGTCATTGATTACGTGACCTTGTTACTCTTAACCACAGCTCAGGAATAAAGGAGTTAATTCAACTGAGAAAACATACAGGGAACTGAAAGCTAACGCCTGGCTTCTGCAAATCTCTTGGGCAACTCATCCAACAGTACACGATGATGTACACCACCTGGGGGCCAGCGCAGCAGCCATCTGGTTTGAGGTTTGAACCAAGACCACTTGTTCGCTCTGGTCCCAAACCAACTGGATAAATGAAGCAAGGTTGTGTTCAGTCCGATCTTAGAGATTAATTTCTCAACCAACAATAAAAACTCCAACGAGGCTGAAAGGACCAATTACTTCTCAGATATGAAAAAGCACAGATAATGTTTTAAATGCTCCACATAAGAAAATTTTTAAAATCAGGTAAAATTTTTGCACATACGTGATAAAAAGAAGACAAGAACAAGCAAATAAGTACACGAAGAATTTCAGCATACCCAGTGCCAGGCTTGCAAGAGACAGGCACAAGAGGAGAGCTAAGAGGAGATGATGAGGTAATGGAGGAAAATGGAGTGGGGGGGGGGCGGGGCGTGAATATAGGGGCAGACAGGTGGATTATGCTCAGGAGACAGAAGAGTGAGTCACCTATCTTGTGCCCCCAGCCTTTGAGGAGTCCTGAAATGAGTGATTGACTCATCCATGTACTTATTCAAGGAATATCACTTAATTCTCTTGGATCTACCTGTTGAGACGGTAGGATAAAGTAGTTAAATTTTATGGAAGTTTTTTTCCCCTGAAAAATCTAGATAGCAACCATTTTATCTGCTTATAAGAACTTTAATCCACCTCTATTTCAGGCAGAGTTAAGTCAACAAAGCAAGAACAAGGAAGACTCCTGGCTTCCGAAGGCTAATGACACAGGCTCACAACGAATGAGCTGTTGAGTTGAATGAGGAGCTGGACCATCCCTGTTCCAAGCGTGACACAACGCTGCATTCTCCTGAGAACTCACACAGCATCAGCTGCTGCAAGTGAAGCTTGCCCCTTCTCCCCCCATTCCTGAGATGGCAACCGCCCCCGTGGACGCATCCTTCAGGAACTGAAGCTCTCCTCGAGAGTTAAATGTGGAGACTGAGAGAGATTGAGGCAGTAAGAGGCAAATTATGTTAAAATTTTTTTTTTTTTTTTGCTCTTAGAAAGTTTGCTGCTTTATTTGCTAGAAACAAACTGACAGCCAGCAATGCGAGAAGTGTCCTCTCCCATAGATGCTTGCCTGGCCTCTGGGTCAGAGCCCCTGGGATGGTCCGGGTGGAGCAGAAGTACAACGCACACAGGAATGTAGCTTAGCGAGACAGGACTATCTACAGCAGCCTACCTGGCCGTCTGGGGGTTGTATTTCTTCTGCTTTTTCCTCCTTTTTTATCTTAGTGTCCACGTGTTGTAATGCATTTGGGGAAGATACCGCTTCTACAGGAAGATTCTGCAGAAAGAGAAGAATCATTGTCTCGCGAGGTCTCCCTGAGAACTGCGGTGATGAGGCGGGAGAAGGCACGTCCCCAACATCTTGCAGCATCTCACTGAGTAGAAAGCAAGGCTGTGCTCTGGGGAGTTGGTGCCAGGACTCTGGACCGCATTTTATGTTTTTAAGAAGATGTACATCCCCAACTTGCCTGTAGTTCAATCTGGGCCAGGATGATCATGGTGACAACAATTATTTCCACTAATGAAATAACGTCCTAATCAAGAAGCCACTCGCAAGAGCATGTGGAGTTGCTTTCTGAGGCACTGAGATGAGACGAGTGCGTTTGGTAACCAGAACAGCCCAATTCAGAATGAAATAAAACCCAGAGAAAAATGTTGCCACTTCTCACTCCCTTCATGATGTCAGAAAGGGCAAAATAGGATATGGGCCCTTCACATGACACGGGAAGGGAGGGGGGACCCGCTCTTCCTTATTTTCTCACCAGTTGTCTGCTTTCACATCCTAAATAAGTTTACAGCCCAAATTTCCTCCCGAGGAGAAAATTATTTCGTTTTTGTTGACATTTGTTATTATATATAACACGTAATAAGTGGACCGCTAACCGGGGCTTAGAAATATTTTTGTTACATTTGTCTTTGATTATATTAATTTAGGTTAAAAACTATAATTAAAAGTAATATAACACCGGGGCTGGCCCCGTGGCCGAGTGGTTAAGTTCGCGCGCTCCGCTGCAGGCGGCCCAGTGTTTCGTTAGTTCGAATCCTGGGCGCGGACATGGCACTGCTCATCAGACCACGCTGAGGCAGCGTCCCACATGCCACAACTAGAAGAACCCACAACGAAGAATACACAACTATGTACCGGGGGGCTTTGGGGAGAAAAAGGAAAAAATAAAATCTTTAAAAAAAAAAAAAAAAAAAGTAATATAACACCTTGATTTGGGGAACTCAAGGATGTAGAAATATCGATCTTGTTTTTGACCATGTGCTGAAGGCAATCAACTTAAAACTAGAAAAAAAAAAAGTTTGTACTTATTGAAAAGGCTGAACTCCCTCAGGAAGGAAGGCAGCATTAGGAATCGTCTTGGTTTTCTGTCCTCCCCAGGAAGACGGGAGGGGGAACGATCCCTTACTGCTGGGGGGCCGGGTGCCCACTCACCTGGGGCTCGGCCACGTTCGGGGAGGACCCGGGGAACTCATCAGTCTGCACCTGGGCGGGAGAGCTGCCCACAGGACTCTGGGAGGGCGATGTGCTCGTGTCTACGAAAGCAGAGAAGGCGAGTTTAAAAGGACAGTGCACACACACTGGAAAATACCCTTATCCCAATGCAATTTCTAAGTCTGATGAAACCCACTGTGAACATATTCTCTTCTTTTTCATGAGATTACTACATAAATAGAGGGTCAGTTATACGAACGTAGGGTCAGTCAAGAACACGTGACATTTGATCATGTAAGAAACATGAACTATTTAATGAATATACTCAATAAATATCTACTGGATGTCACTCTTCTTCAAGTAATAAGATGCTTCAGGAGAGGAAGTTGAAAAGGTCTTGTCCCTGCCTTTAAGCTGCGTATGGTCCAGTGGGGAGATGGAGACAAGAAGGGAAAAATGTGGTCCACGTGATATTGGGTTGTTGGACCAGGAGCCTGGTGGAGGAAAGCCACTGGCTCACAGGGGAGTCAGGGAAAGCGTCACCAAGAAGGTATTGATTATCCATTGAGACAATTCTTGGAGGTTTGAGCCGAGGCAGGAGGAGGTGTTCCATTGTGCATGTAAGTAGCAGAAAGCGCGAAGGGTGCAATGGGTAAACTGAGGTTGTTAGGAGGCCTGAGCGGGTGGAGGGTCCACAGGGTAGCAGGGTGGCAGGCAGGTACGGGCTGCAGGTGAAGAGAGTGACATGCCATGCAGAGGAATGTCAAGTTCCCTAGGGTGAGGAGCTGCGGGCCGGTTGGAGCCGTGGGGCAATACATCAGCCTCGTGTTTGTGAAGCTGGCCCCAGTGGAGGTGAAAATGGAGTGGAGGAAGACCGTTAGGCGGACTCAGAGAAGACAGCACGGTGCCCGGCCAAGCTGGAGGGTTGAGAACGGGGAGAGTCGAGAGTCAAATCGATGGAGCAGCGTCTAGCCAACCTGGGGGGGGAGGGGAGGAAGGGGTCTGAAACAGTCCGTACGTCTCAGGCCCAGGGGACTGACGGATGCAGGATGGCAACTGATAAGAGGTCCCGCATTCGGGGATGCAGGCCTGTAAGCAGTTCAGGTCTGAGGAAGCTGAGAGTTCACGTTTTGGCCTCGAGTCTGCAGGCCCCACACCTGAGGGGCACCGCCCACATCACAGGCGGTGCCTATGCTGACAGCCTCCAGCAGGTGTCACAGAGGGTGCTAATTTTCTGATGGCAACCTGAGGAAGGGGGCCCCTCCTGACTCGCCCAACTGCACTCCCGCTGGTGAGGCCCCTGATGCAGAAGGCTCTGCACGGTGGTGCTGACAGCCCTGGAACTCAGGAAAAGGGGGACAGAGGCCAGATCAGGAGTGCTGTATCAAGGTGGCAGGGAAGGCCCAGGGAGGCACGAGACTGCCCGAGGGCCCACGCAGAGAAAAGGGAGAGGCCGAGGCCAAGGCCAGCCCCCCAGAACCAGCTTTGGCTGTGCGCTGGGAGGAGGCTGGGAGCGTTGGCAAGACCGACAGGAGAGGACGCCTCAAGGGCCTCGGAAAAGGAGTCAGAAATGAGGATGCTCTGTGACCTGTGGGCACTTGCTGTGGGAAGATTTTGAGCAAACACTTCCATGTCACACAAGCCCACATCTTAAAGCAGGAGGCAAAATAGGAAGCAAAAACGCTCATGATGATCTCACCATTTCCGTCTGCGGCTGGCTCGTCCTCCTTGAGCACGACATTCGCAGCTGGCACTGGGGACTTCCTGCCGTTCGATTTTTGCAGACTTTGGGAAGATGGGTGTGCAGCCTGGGGGCAATGACAGTCACAAACCTGACACTGCCCCTTCAGCTGGAGGGCCTCAAGATCAAAAACTGGGAGCTGCAGAAAGTCATTTTCAACTGTAAACATGTTTTAATAACATAACATCCGGGGACTTGACCATAACCACAGCTCTATGAGATAGGCCATTTTTTTAAATGCAGAAATACAGAGAGCATAGCAGAGCAAGTAATGGTTGATTCAGTTAGTTTATATTTTTAGCATTAAAGACAAATCTGAAGAAATCCTTTTTTTTTTTTTTTTTTTGGTGAGGAAGATTGGCCCTGAGCTAACATCTGTGTCCATCTTCCTCTATTTTGTATGTGGGACACCTGCCACAACATGGCTTGATGAGTGGTGTGTAGGTCCACGCCCGGGATCTGAACTGGTGAACCCTGGGCCGCTGAAGTGTGGCTTGTGAACTTAACCACTATGCCATCAGGCTGGCCCAAGAAATTCAATTTTTTTTAATCTAGGGAAATTGAATTATTCTAAATAAATTTAACCTATTTTGAATAATAGAGTATTCTTGTTAGAACTATGTGGAATTTTTATCTAAATCTAAATTTTAAAAATACATTCTCCAATGTTACCTTTTCATCCTCAAACACAGTGGGCTCGTCTTCAGAAGGAATGTCCCTCCCAGTGGGCATTGCACTTCTGACTTGAAGACTTCTGGAAAGAGTTTTATCTCCGTCTCCACATGACATTCTTTTCCCTGAGTCAATTCTTTCTATCTTTATACTTATTGGCTGAAAATAAACATGGGGGTACTTTTGCGTTAATAACAATCACATTATCCAAAAATATCGATAAATACATGGTGCTGGTTGTCACAGAAGCTAGACCATTATAACCCCATTTCTATGTCCCGCAAAGTAGAACTCTTGTTATATCTCATTTTCCATTTTGCAGCCCATGTTTTTGTGGAATTCAGGGAAGTTGTGATTGACCCTGTAGAAAAGGTTTGCCATCACAACAGAATAAATTGCTCAAAATCGAATTTAAAAATGTATAGCAGGAATTTTCTTCTACCCTTTGCATTATTCAAAAGTTGACTGTTTTGAGGTATGGATAAGCCAATTATTCGTTCACTCATACATACCTTTATTAAGCAATTATACTTCCTGTGTCTAATTAATTCAGTGCAATACGGGAACATACGGGAAGCCTGCATCTCAGAGGAAACCAGACAGCAGACAGTCTGCGCAGCTCATCCTGGGACTCAGATGGTCTCTACTCAAACGTTCCAAAAAAGATACTTCTCCCACTTTTAATAAATGCCTGGATGAGGCAATTCCAGACCCTCCCACAAGGAATAAAATATTTCCCGCTGAACAGTTGCATTGGGAAACAATGCCAGGACATTCGATGATCTTCAGGAGTTTGGGGGTCTTCTCAGCACAGGTCAACCCCATTATCCACTGCTGGATGGGGACACAGACAGGCTCCCAAGTGTGAGGATGACCCAAATCTGGGATGGTAACAAATACCCTGGGTGGCAAAATATTCTAAAGAGGAGGGAAGTTTCACCAGGAAAATGCAATAGAGATCAAACAGCATCCTGCACCGAGGTCCCGAAATGAACAGCATACGCTCCGCATGGAGAGAGCCTGTGCTGAAGCAGCAGGTGCGAGCCACAGCGGTGACCCGGGAAATACATGGCTTTAAAGATGTGCGACGCGTGAGCCAAACAACATTAAAACACGTGGCTACTTAAAACCCCGGCCTCAGGCTGCATTAAGAGAAGTAAAGCGGCCAGCCCTCCCGTCTGTGGTCAGCCCCCCGCTAGGCTCGCTGCTGTGAGCGCTCAAGGAGACGGGGATGGGAAACCGGCCGTTACAAGAGCTGCTCCTGCAGGGAGGCGGGATACACGGGTCTGGGTACCAGACCTCTGCTTCCTTTCACAGGTTATAAACACTGAGGGTCACCCGGGAGGGAGTTACGTTTTGAGACGACGGCCTTTGTCCTACGAAAGTAGCACTGTGACTTTGGCGGCCCGCGTGTTTGGGTGCTATTTCCTCATCAGCGGTCGGAGGTGGAGTTTTTCCAAAATTAGATTCTGATACCTGAAAGGCAATTTATCACAAATGAATTTCAGGAGGAATAGCAACTGTAGGATAAATTCAAATTTTAATGCATTCGACAAGAATTGCAATGCCCTAGGGAGAAGATAGGGAAGTGATGAGGGGCGTGGGCTAGTTTCTGCCCCTCAGTGTGTTGCAGATTCTCACAGAACACAACACACCACGAGCACGGGGCCACTGTGTGCCTTGTGTCTCTCACTGTCGTCCGCTGTTTCAAGACAGCCCAGATTCCCAAAGGAAACAAAACAAACAACATCCCAATTTACTTCTGTGGATTACGTGTCTCCAACAGAGAAAGTATTAAAGAAGAAAGACAACTGACCCTGTTTCTAGGGCTGTCCCTCACATTTCCTCAAAGATTTAAATGCAAAATCTCAAGGTTCCCAGCTCAAAAGCAAACTCTGGAAACAGCAGGCCCTTGGGGTGGAATGTGGTGTTTTCAGTTCTTTTCCACGCACACATACCTATACTGTTTGTATCTATGTGGAATTCACATATCCGCCCTGTTTTCTTCAAGTCGAGGTGTCTTTCTGAGAGCAGATGCTGTCCTTGTGAATAGCCCTACGACTCTGTGACCAGCACTGTGCACAGAGTCTGCAAGGTTTGGAAATTCACCAAGCGCACGAGCTCAAAATGAGAGGGGGGGTGTGTGTATGTGTGTGTGTGTCAGTCACTGTGCCGTGTCAGAAATGCCCTAACTCTTTGAACTGTAGACATAAAAGTTCGCACAACAAGTGCGGATAAGAAATGTTAGGGCTTTCCTTAGCCCGCTAGAAAATACCCCCACTCAGATTTTGAGTGTGTTTACAGGGTTTCTTGTCGACATCTGTGCACACAACTTTAATGATTCCAGTTGCTCAGACACGTATGCAGGAAACAGAACACAGACATAACACAGACAAAGCGATCAAGCTCTGGCCACAGTCACAACCTCTTCTGCACATTCCCTTAGTCCCACGACCCAGACATGAAGACGGATGTTAGGTAAAAGCGGGCCCGTGTTTAAAGGGACTGACTACGTCCGTCTAAGAATGCTGACTCTTCCTTTGAGATGAAGCAGGGTGGTCTGCATTCCATTTCTATAAAGCTGTCACACTGCATGAACAGAGCAGCTGAGGTCCTGTGAGCAGGTTCTGGGTCCAGATCCAGGCCCTGCAGTTCACTGGCCGCACGACCTTGACAGGAGTTAGTAATAGAATCTATCTCCCGGGGTCATGGTCGGGAGTAAACAGGGGTCCCGAGCACAGGCCCAGCCCGTGTAAACCCTGGTCATTGTTTGCCGCTGCTGTTATCACGTGCTGGAGCGACAGTGGGAGCCCTGATGCCTTTGTGGGGGCCTGGAATTGGCCACCCCAAGATATGTCTCTTTGGCGTGATGATTATTTGAGGCTGGTTACTTCGCAGACAGGAAAGCAACTGAAAAGTAGAATTTACTTAGCCTTTGTAAGAGACATTCACATTGTAAAGGAAATCTCCACCTGTAAAGATGTCTCCCTCTCTGTACCAGGAAGAAGGGGAGAGGACCTTGTCTCTAGAAACTCTTAATCACTGGGGAAGGCAAGGACTTAAATCTGCATTCGTTTACTGTGCTTGTCTGGTAACCTCCTGTAACTGACTCCCCCTCCACCCCCAACATCCTCCTTTGTCTTTAGCTGGATATGGTATTTAATGTGGTGGTTTCAGCCATTTTGGTGAGTTGCTCAGCTTGCCTGGCCTCTCCCATATATACATTGACAGGTGGAAATGGCAAGCAATAGGATATATTGGAGTACATGAGGCGGCCATTTGGTATAAGTCTGGTTTGGCCTGACTTTGCTTTTTTCCAAAAGGGCCTGACTGTGGCCATTGAGCATGCATTGTATATCTGCTTTAAACATTTACTATGGCAAGAACAAATGGCCTTAAGATAAAGGTGCAACTTCCCCCCCCTCATTGGCATTTCCTTAGGGATAAGCATCTTTCCTTATGCTAGGAACTGATTGCTGTGCTCACCTTTGACCACCCAGCTCACCTGTGACCACCCAGCTCGAGACAACAGACCTGCCACCCTGCTGTGTTCACTGAGACAGCAGACCTACCTGCTGTTTCCATCAACCACTGTGTCGACAGAGCAGTCTCGCCACTATTGTAAAAGGGACATTTCAATCCTATGTGAAACATCCTGTTTGGGGGTATATAACCACTCTGTGCACCCCACTTCTTCGGTGCCCTTTCTTCCTTCAGGAAGAAAAGCCCCAGACCATGGTCCTCAGATTTTAGATAAAGCTTTGTTTAATTTTCTCCTGCTATTCTGTCTCATGTGAATTTAATTCATTCTCCAGCCAGATGAACCAAGAGAGGGTAGAGGAAATGTCTTCCTCCCCGACACCTTTGACTGATCACCCATTATTTGTGAGAAATGGAACTGATTTAAAGAAAGCCCTTTCACCTCCTGGATGGGGAGAGACACCACAACGCCCCAGTGATGAAGCGTACACCTTTGTTAATGATGCTACTTCTAAGTAAAACAAAAGGAGCCTTTTGGTACCAGCATGTCGGATTTCCTTCTTGGGGGGTGGGAGGCTGTGTGAGTCTTTTTGGCCTCCAGTCGCTGCAGCTCTGAGGCTCTCGGTCCATCCCGCAGCAGCTCCAGGTTCTGTGTCAGCAGAGCATCTATCTGGTTCTGGAGTCGGCGGTGAGCCGCAGCCCACCAAGCCTCCTGCCTCCTGACCACCTCCCGGAGCTCAGAGATCTGCTGCTGCAGTCGCTGCGGTGAGAAAGAGCACACCAGACAGCCCCTCACACGTCACGGCTGGTGCCCCGACATCTGATGAGCTAAATGCAACTATAAGACCCACATCCGTTTTTGTTGAGTAGTGTCCATTATGAAGGATGCCACATGACATAACTGGATAAAGAGGGTTAGCGAATCATTGTTCTTTGTTAAAATATCACTGTGGCAAAAAGAGGCTGAGACTTCTTTCATGTTTTTCTTCTTCCTCTTATCCTTAGGGGTCAGTATAGACAGGAGTTAAGAGCATGAGTTTTGAAATGATTCAGACCTAAACTGTAATCCTGGCTTCACCACTTCCTTGCTGTGTGACCTCAGGTAAGCCACCTAACCTCTCTGGGCCTCAGTTGCCTCTTGTCCAAACTGGTGACACAAAATGACCTCAGATTTTTATTTTGAGAATTGAAACCTGTGCTGAATATAGAACTCCCAGGACAGAGAGTGGAAAACGCTGAGGAAGTGTTAGTTGTTATTTTTGTACCTACTTCATGCAGTGATGTCCCTCATAATGTCACACAGCTTTTCATGCTAATATACAAAACAGACTTCAAAATACAAGAAATACGAGCCATCGGGCATAATAAAGGAAACGTTCAAAGTCATTTCAGAAAGGAGATTTTAACCTGTCTACATTAGAAACAATTTGGTAGAGAACTCTAGAATAAAGAAAATAAGATATGAAACTCTAGAACTCGAGGAGAGTATTTTCCTTTTATAGAGATTATCTCTGAAAAGTCATTAGCATCACATTGCAAATGAACTATTAAAAGAGAAAATACAATTTGGGAAGAAATTAGTGATTACATTATTCTCTTGGTTTATTCTAGAAACAGCGGAAAAACAATCGCATCTTAATTTTAAATTGAATTACTATTCTTCTTCCCCCGCAGGAATTATCCTAAAATGACTAGCTTTGTGAAGACTGGTGCTGTGGGGCTTTGGGGCAGAGGGCGAGGCTGGGGGGGAACAGGGGATCTTGGAAGGATCTCTGTTGGTCGAACCCCTGGTCACGTTCCCCTGCGTGGAATCTGCACCCGACATGTTTCCAGTAAAGGCGAGAGGGAGAAGCAGAGATCCCAGGGAGGGACGAGATGAGTGTCTCCACTTAGAAGCCAGGTGGGAATTAAGCTCCACGACTGGGTCATGTGTGTGGGACTCCCGGTGTGCTGGCCACTCTCCCACCCATCCTGGTGACCAGAAGCTGGACCTGGAAACAGCGATTCTCGAGTTCCATGGCCCATTGTCGCGGATCCGCACAGCCTGCCTGGGAGCGGTGTCATGACCCCACATTGCCGATGAAGAGATGGGGCAGCCTCGCTTTGGGGACTAGAGTTTCATTCTGATTTTCCCCGGGTAGGATGCAGGAACAGCGTGAAAATTCACGACGACATCCAGATCACCCCCTTTCGTTACAAAAATACCATTTACTGAGTATTTGCTTAGCATTTGCCTAAACGCTGGGCACCTGCTTTTCAAATGTCAGCGCGTGTAATTCTGAAACAAGCCTTTGCATGAGCGCCACTATGATCTCCAGCTGAGAAATCGCCAAGCTGAGGCTCCCGGGGGCGGGTCACCAATGCGAGGTGGCAGGGTCCGTAAGCTGGGGACCCTAACTTTGCACTCAGAAAGTTCAGATCCGGGGCTGGTGTTTCTTCTCAATTTTTTTTTTCAAAACATCTTTCACCTTCCATTGCTGTCGGTCAGTCACTCGTTTATTATGTCCTTTGGGCGCTTTCTTTCCGCCTTCCTTCAGTAACTACAGGGCAAGTCCTCAGGATCGGGGACTGACGTGCTGTCCGCTGATGTGTCTCGAGAACCCCACACAGTGTCTGGCACACCGCAGACCCTCCACAAGGACTGTCAACTGTTTGAATTCTCCCCGTTTTAGCAAACTTGGGAAGACAGACAGAAGCTAACATTGGGGAAAGGATGGCAGAAAACAAGAATGTAGCCAAAGATCAAGAGAACAGAGAGAGGAGAAATCTCAGGCTCAGAAGCCCCAGGAGGGGGACAGTCTGAGCACCAGGCTTGGGGTGGATCAGCGTACCTTGTGCCTCCCTCCTGGCCCAGCACTGAGTCATTTGATGGAAGGGGTTAATTGCTTAACTGTCAGCACGATTCACTAGGACCCCTTTTCCGACTCTGGTTGTGAGGAGATTCTGTCACTGTTGTCACAATGTCCCCCACCACCTGCCCTTTCCTGGGAGTCATGGAGTGGTAGAGTGGAAAAGCTTTAGCCTGGTCCCCACAATGCTGGAACCTGGACCCTCTTTGAAGAGAAGTTGGAAATATCACCCAACCCTCTAAGCCACAGCATTTCCACCCAAATAGATAACTGTATCTTCTGTGCCCTCGAAACATGGTGTTCTAAAGGTCCCGGAGGGAGTGCCACCTCCGCTTTGCTGAGGGCCAGGCCAGGGTTCTGCTGGGTTTCCATCGACTTGTCCACTTGCCTGTCTCCCCTCCCAGACTCTGAGGTCGACCCTGAGGTGGGGGCTCTGCACGTAGGTTTGGGGCTGTTTCCCCCCTGTGCTGGCTCTGGGCCCTTAAGCCAGGTGTGAGGCGCCCCATCTCTTCCTCGGTGACGTGTGATCCTGATACTTGTCACAGGTTGGTTGTGAGTCTCCAAGACGATAGAGCATGGAACTCGCTTATGACAGAGCCTGGCCCTCAGGAAATAGTTATCATCAATGTTCCGTGGCTCATAGCTCTGAATTCCCAGAGACACAAGCAAAACACCTGTGTTGTATTGAAAAAGATAGTTTATCAACTGTTTAGAAATTAGCAGAGGCCACGGCATTTTAAAGCCGACACACCAGCTTTTCCAGGGGGGTCCTTCCTTTGACCCTGTGTTGCAAGGATAAACGGGATTGAGAGAAGGTACAGTCCTGTGCTGTGTGACCACGGTGGCTGGACAGAGGGCACAATGGATGGGGGACGTCTAGGGCCTTCCTGGGGACAGAGGGTGGGGAGACTCACCGAGGAGTCGGGCGAGGAAGCTGCTGGAGCTCGGGGCTGGGCGGACAACTTAAGTGATGTAAGCTTTGTGAGTTTTTGAAGCGAGTTTCTACAGTCTTGTGCCCCCTCTTGGGTTGAGGAGGTTAAGCTGAAATACTCCAGTTTAACTCCGCATCCTGCCTCTGCTCCATCAAGGCACAAAGTGGCAGAACGGAAGGCACCCCATGCCCCTCCTCAAAGGAGGCAAATGTCGATGTCTGTGAAAGCATTACCGAAACCGGCTTGCAAGATGAGAAGCACAGGGACCCCGCATGCCGGGTCTCGGGGGTAGGGTCCGGATAAAAGCTGGTGAGACTAAGTCAGCACAAACACAAGCCCTGTGGTGCCCGGCATCCCAGGGCCCAGTGTCACCCAGCTCACCAGCATCTCCTGGGCCTGGCTGTCCTCCCTGGAGAGTCCGGCCACCTTCTGGGGGGTGGTCCCGGCCCTCCCATCCTCTGGGCCGCCGGTCTCTGCTGGCTCCTCAGCCTCCAGAGGAGCGCTCAGCATCCTGGAGGAAGGAGGAGGCGGTCAGGAGCCGGGGTGAGGCGGCGGGTGGGACACAGAGCTCCCCTTCCACTGTCGGATGGAGTGACCACTCTTCATCACAGCCCGTTCTCCCTAATAAACTAACCCAAGTAAAAGGTCATCTCAGTGTCTGGGAACCACACAACGGAGGGGCCCGAACAGGCCACAGGTGATGGATAGTGATGGATAAAAAACACTTTAATTCATAGAAAATCAGCCAAACTCGAAATGGACTGGCTGTCAGCGTTCCCTCCATGTCATCAAGATTGTCTCAACGGGAGGTTGAGGGGACCAAACGTGAGCTGAGCAGTCACCGCACCTTACAAATCGAAACAGACCCATCTACCACGTTGCCTCGATGGCTTTTCTAACGCCCCCAGCGGGCGGCGAGGTTTGGACCGACTGGGGAGGCCGTCGTGAGGGCCTGGCTCTTAGAGACGCGGGGAGGGGCTGTCACCGTGCCCCAGGCCCCTCCCGAAACAACCAGAAAGGACGGTCGTCCTGCCTTCAAGCAAGCCTTGAGCAAAAGGAGGTGTGTGTCAGTGCACAGCGTCGCTCTGTGCTCGAGGACACGGCCAGGAGAGCATCCTTCAGAGGCCGGCGTTGCTGCCCGTGACGCAAAGCCGCACAAAACAAAAGCAAAAGCAAAACCGGAAAACCAAAGGCTCCCTGGGATGGTGAGGCCTCCTCCCGGAAAGCCCGTCTCAGCTGACTTTCCTTCATTTCTAGTCAAGGAAGCCTCTACCAGGAAGAGGATCAGCGGCTGACTCAGAATCAGACCCCTGACTTCCCCTGGGAGGGTTTACAGACGACTCAGATTGTCCCCATCACCGCCCGTGAGTCAACAGAAATGTATTCACAGAAAAACTCCAAACTGCAGATGAACTTGGGAACGAACAATTTAACCACAGCCGTAGAAGAGTAAGCTGGGGTAAAGTGCTCGTTTCCTGAGGAAAGAGAATCCAGTAGACCCACAGCAAAGACAGCGAGGCACCTAGTCATCCTGTCATTCCTTTCCCAGCTGGGTTTTACTAAAGTCCCCTTCAGAAGCTGGCTTGAGTGTATCATTCTTGTAACCCTATTTCTCTTAAAAAATATAAATATCCCGGAGTCTCAGGCCCCAAACTCTTAAACCCCTCAGTCTAGGGGAGACAAGTCCTTTCAGCCACCCCAACCAGACGTGGTCACCTCGCCTAGTCCATGGCGGTCCCTGGGGGCAGGATCCAGTCCCTCTTGGCCGTGACCTCCCACGGCTGCTCCTGTCTCCCCCCTCCTTCCCCATCTCAGAAAACAGTGCAGATTCTAAACTGACTCCCTGTCTTAAAGAAGCGTACCCTTCTCATACCTCCCAACCCGCCATCAAGCTTTCTGATTTCCTAAGCTTCAGCTATAATTAAATATTTACAAATACGTGACTGAGTCACAAATATGTGATTTTCTAGTCAATGGGATATATCTACCAACACAGGAAACTGGGGGTGGCAAAATTCCCCCTCCCAAGTGACCCCCCAAAACTGTGTTTAATATCAAATGTTTAACATGCAATATATAGTAAGAATTCGTTTCTCTTAGCACGTATTCTTGAAGAAATATAAACTGTCTTTTGATGTCAAGACAAATGATTTGCTACGAGAGATGTTCGTGAGGAGAAAATAAGATATGCAAGTTTACACGGGAGAAATGGTTCAAAATTTCATCATTGCACAAAATGCCTCCCTGTCTAAATTGTCCACACGATTTTTGTGATAATAAAGATGAGAAACTAGTGGGAGAGACAATGCCTGGTGTTAAACGTTACCCATCATTTCTCATCGACAGTCCTGTATAGGTAATAACCAAATATTTAGAAAGCCAGCAGATGGAAGCCTTTGGACATGCATGCATTCTACTCAGTGTATGAGTGGTCCCAGGGACCCTGGTCACAGCTGTGCTGTGGGACAGGGGTCCAGCTGCATCAGGGTCTGACACAGCAGCTCCCCCAGTGTCTCATGACCACCCTAGTTCCATGGTTCCAAGGTCACATCCTCCCTGGACCAGTTAGGTGGGTGAATCCATGTGCCTGGTGCTCTGGGTTGTGCTGTTGGATAGTCACACTGTCCTACAGCCTTGTGATCAGCAGGACGCCCGGCCTGGGTGCAGCGTCCCCTGCAGGAGAGCGCGAGCCACATAAAGCAGCATAGAGGAGGAGCCCTCCCTCAGTGGTCCAGATGCCGCTGCAGCTTGGCGCCTGCTGGCAAGGCCAGGAAGCAGGCTGCGCTGGAGGACGGCCACAGAGCCCGCCGTGCTCTGTCCGCCCAGACGTCCTCCGCGTCCATCCCTTGCACAGACAACGTAGGTGTTATTTATGAGGATAGGGCTCCTGACCTTGATGAGGAGATGGCAGTCTGTCACTCCCACCCCACTGCTCCTTGTGCCCGGGGCGACCGCAGGCCAGCGGCTCTGCAGGTCTCCACTGCCCCAGAGGGTGCCCCGGGGATGTCAGAGGTGTTGTGAGAATAGAACGAGGGGGTAACTGACGAGGAGGAGGTGGGAACCGGGGCAGAAGCCTCCGGTGCTGGGTTTCTTCACCCCCGTCTTCAGTGTGAAGATCATTTGGGGGAGAGTATCCTCTGGTGTAAGGTCTTCCCTGACCGGAGCACAGGTTCAAGGACGTTTCATTTAATATAAAGCAGAGAATTTTGCTAACAGCGTGTGGATCTCTGCCAAAATCTGCTAAAGAGACACGCGGTGGACGGCACTTTGCCGGCCACACCCGGCGCCCGGGGCTGCCTAGCCAAGAGCACCATCTCCTATTGACAGATTCCGCTTTCTTGCGCTGGCCACCATAGAAAGGCATCTGTAATTTCACATTACAGAAAACAATACGGAGAGTGAGTTTTTTAGAATAAAAGCACAGAGTATTTGCAGGCAAGTTCATCCTATTTACTCACCGATTTGACTTTATTTCTTCATTTTTTGTTCTCTGCCGTTGATCTTTCTATTTCTGCATCAAGATGAGATTAATTCTCATAACCTAAGAATACATTTTAGTATCTAATTTTAAAAATGCTCTTGGATGCTTTTACTCATTCTTCCAAAAGAAAGTTCCAAAAACTTGTTCAATTATAGGAGAAATCCTGCGTGTCTTTCCTGTCCCCCACACAGCCACTGACTCCTTCCCTCATGTGCCTTCAAGGATTCCCTTAAAATGTCCCTTCTGGGGCCGGCCCTGAGGCCGAGTGGTTAAGTTCCTGTGCTCCGCTTTAGAAGCTCAGGGTTTGCTGGTTTGGATCCGGGGTGTGGACCTATACACTGCTCATCAAGCCATGCTGTGCTGGCGTCCCACATAGAAAAATTAGAATGACTTACCACTATGATATACAAATATGCATTGGGGCTTTGGGGGTGGGGAGAAGAGGAATTTTGGAAACAGATGTTAGCTCAGGGCCAATCTTCTTCACCAAAAAAAAAAAAGTGTCCCTTCTCAGAAAGGCCTTTGAAGGCCAACCTTTCAAAATAGCACTGCTGTCACCATGTTGTCCACTCTCTCTAATTCGCAACACTCACTCCCGCCTGATGGTCCACTTGCTAACTGTCCATTTTCCCCGCTGGACGCTGATCCAGGGATACAGACTTTGCCTTGATGCCACTGTACCGCCAGGGCCAGAGCGGGACTGGACATGTATCAGGTACCCCAGCAGTTTACGGAATGAGCACCCAAACGAATGACAACGTATTTAACAATCACCGCTTTCACACACAAACAAATGTAAGGAACACCATTTCTGATGTGTTAAATCGATTTCTCCATTAGCAACAAAACTGAAAAGACCACCTTGTGAAACCTGGTCTTATTTACAGATTCTGTGCTTTCAGTTTTACTTCTGCCCCCCTCTTCCTCTTGCGTGTCCACTCGGGAAAATCTATTCAGGGGTTTTCCATCATTCTGAGTTTGAAACTCCGTGCTTCATTTTAACCCGTACTGAAAAAATGAAGGGGAAAAAAAAAGCTTTTTTACCAGGAAGTGCGTCTGCACAATCCATGTTTTGACTCAGTGTTGGAGCCTGAGGACAATTATTCCCCTTTCATTAAAGTCTTATTTTTGTAGGATTACAATTTTTCTATAACAATGAATCATGTTCAAAGTGATCTCTTATGCATGAAACACTGATTGCATTAGTAATTCAGTCCTTTGATGATATTCACATTATGGGAATGTTCTGAGGTTGTGAAAATTCCTTTTATTTTTTTTATTTAAAGATTGGCCCTGAGTTGACATCTGTTGCCAATCTTCCTCTTTTTTATTTTCTTCTCCCCAAAGCGCCCCCAGTACATAGTCGTATAGTCTAGTTGCAGATGCTTCTGGTTGTGGCATGTGGGACGCCGCCTCAGCAGGGCCTGATGAGCAGTGCTAGGTCCACGCCCAGGATCCGAACCCGCAAAACCCTGGGCCACTGAAGCAGAGTGTGAACTCAACTACTGGACCATAGGGCCGGCCCTCGAAAAATTCTTTTCCACCAAACCGTACACGCCGATATGGGCTCTGAACTCTGCCACATCCATGTGAGTTCTAACCTCTGAGATGGTACTTTCAGCTTCTTTTTCTGAAACAATTCCACTGGTTTTGGAAATGACCATAGCTCCTTTCTCCAGCATCACACCCTCCCCCCCCACCCCCCAGGACTGGAGGTGGAAATAGGACAAAAGGAGTGAAGTGTGACCTCACCATGGACTTGGAAGTAGTGCCAAGCTCAGGTGAATGAGTTATTCCTTAGAGAGAGGGAGGGCAGGGTCACAGAGGGGGGCAATCACCTAAATATGAGAGAAGGAAAAGAACATGAGATGTAGTGAACTTTTGAGAGGCTACAAAAACTCGCTAACCGAGGTTGAGAAAAATCACTAGCCTTCCCAAAATGCTATAAACGTTGCACAGCTGGGCACACCCAAGTCTGTGGTTGTATTCACCCAGCTGTACTTTCCTGCCCCGGGCCTCACCCCGGCACTCAAGCAGACTGTAATTTTCTCCTCCTTCCCTCCTGACCCCGCTCCCACCCACCTCCACTTCAATTGCATCTTTTCTTTACTTGTATCATGTTATTCTTTACAAGTGTGTTTATTCATTGCTCTTGCCCACTGGAATAGAAGTCTCTTAAAGTTAGGAAGTATAATATAGAATTATGAGCATTTGTAATCTCATCACAAAATGAGTAACATTTAATATGTCCTGATTTTTTTTTTCTTTTGGTGAGGAAGATTGTCGCTGAGCTAACATCGGTGCCAACCTTCCTCTATTTTATGTGGGATGCCACCACAGCATGGCGTGATGAGCAGTGCTAGGTTTGCACCTGGGATCCAAACCTGTGAACCCCAGGCAGCCACCAAAGTGGAGCACACGAACTTAACCACTATGCCACCAAGCCAGCTCCCTGAATTTTTTTGATTAAATAAATATGTGATAAAGAATTTAACTTTGACCAAAAAGGGGGCTGACCTTTGCCCTTAGCTGCTGATCTCCAAGCCCAGTGGCCATGGAATGTTACGCTTGATAGGGGTGTCTTTGCCTGGGGGCCTTGGGCAGGCAAGTAGTAATAATGTGATGTGATAAATAAATAATGTGATAAAGACTCTGGTCACCAAGGCTCCAGGGGGCTCCCCTGGTTGACATGCCCGGTGCGTGTTGTCACACATCTGTCCGGGGAGATTAATGCTTCCTGACTCCACAGAGGAGGACAATGGAAGCTCCATGCTGATTACTCTCCAGAACTCTGTCCCATGTCCCTCCCCTCGGCTGATTCTAATCCACGTCCTTCCCTGTAATATGACACAACCATGAATATAACAACGTCCAATGAGCTCTGTGAGTCCTTCAGAGAATCATCCAGACTGAGGGGGGTCTCGGGGACCCCCACACCTACAGTTGGTGTCAGAGAGGGGGCGGCTTTATGGGGACCATCCTGTTCCTCCCAACTTCACAGTTGTCTGACGTCACAGCAAGTGACAGGAAAGTCTAAGTCAGAGTATTTATTCAGTCTTTACAAAGTCTTCCTTCTGGCTATTTTCAGACATAAAAGGAAAACTGGAAAGGAAAAATGCATAGAATTACATTTGTATGTGGGTTTAAAGCAACAAGTCCGTTTTCACTTAAATTTAGGAACAGGCGTGTGAATGAAATACGCACCACACAAATGGAAGTGAGAACAGAGAAGTAGCCCAAATAGGAAGAGCATTGAATAAACAGGACTGGTGATGGAAAATGAGTTTCTGGGGATAATAAGATTTAAGAAGACAAGATCCCTGAGGGAGAAGCTCAAATAGTATGACTTTAAAAGACAGGAAGGAAGGAACAATTCATTCTTTTAGCAGTAAGGAAGATAAGTCAACGTGCTAAGAAAAAGAAGCAGAATTTTAAAAAATCTCATAACTTTGGTTTCCTATATTTAAAAAGGAAAATATGTAATTATTAATGTCTGTGTCACTTGTTGAACTAGAATACCTATATCTTAGAAAGTTTTTGGTATAAACTGAAATCTGCAATTAAGAGGTAGCTTTCAAGGTCTGTCAGAGTTTCCAATGAGCTGAGAGAAAGAGACTTAATCCATTTCTTTCCTGCGTTTATGCAACTTCCATCCCTGAAGAGTTGGGTGAGTTAGCAGCTTTTCTGGGTGTCATTGTGCGTGTTAGAGATGAGATACACGGTCTCCAGCCAACCCTCCCCTGGAACCCATGTTGTATTCCATCCTCGCGTGCTCCCGAGGAACCGTTTATAATGAACATGTGGTTGGCGAATCCTCGTTCACAGAAGGTGTCGCTGTGTGGGCAACAGTCGGGACATTTCTACAATTCCAGATGCTCAGAGGACTCACCAAATGCATCTTCTCGGGGAGCAAAGAGGCAGGTGAGCCTGCACGATGCAGAGATGGGGTGATACACGGGCTGGCGGTCCAGCTGGAAAGGACAATCCTGCTATAATTAAAGCAGGAAGGAATACGAGTGCAATTACCTGAAATATCTCACAAGGAGGTAGCCCGGTGGGGCTTCTAGAAATACAGGCTTTTTATGAACTCAGGAGTGAAGCTGTTCCGATCAGGAAATGGTACAGCAGCGTGGTCAAGCCGGGCTCTGGTGGGAATCTGGGCTGGACGATCCCGCTCCCGCCCCTCACTGGCCTGTGACCTTGAGCGTATTACCCAACCTCGCTGTGCTTCCACTTCTTCATGCATAAAATAGAGTTTAAACTTGTAGCTAGTTCGCCTCATTGTTGCACAGTTCTTTGCAACAATGACACATGATAAACATGAGGCAAACTTTAGTAACGATTCCTGTCGAGACCTTTTTAAAGCTTTCAAGTTAGATCTCAGAAATGACGGCACCAAAGCGACACAGAACTGATGTTTGGTGCGAAATTGTGTGACTATGTTGGGAGAGAAAAAAGAGTTTTGTTAGAAATCTGAGCATCAGATAGAGGTTTATAATGACAGTGAAAGTGTTGAGTGCCCACCGTGTCCCAGATCTGGTGCCAAGTGCTTCCCCTGTGTCTCAGATACAAGGACCTGCAGGCGGTGTGATCACCTTCGCCTCACAGGTGGAGAAGCCAGGGGGCGCCGACGAGCATTTGCCTCCCAAAATCACTCTGCTGCTAAGTGAGAAACCGGAACTAGGACTAAAGTCTGTTTAATATCAAAACCCAAGCCAGACTGAACAGAACCATAGAGAATTAGGGTCAACCGTGGGTCAACACCAATGTGAATTAGGGTCAACCGTGGGTCAACACCAACGTGAACTAGGGTCAACCATGGGCCAGGACCAAGGTGAACCAGGGTCCTGTATGGGTCAGGACAAAAGTGAATTAGGGTCCTCTCTGGGTCAGGACCAAGGTGAATTCGGGTCAACCGTGGGTCAGTACCAAGGTGAACTAGGGTCAGCAAAGGGTAGAGATGACTGGATTCATTCAATATTTATTTATTGACCCTCATTACTTGCCAGGCATTGTTTTGTCCCTGGACACACAGAGGACCGCAAATCTTCTTCCCAGTGAGTGTAGGAACCAGATCTGACTGTCAGTGTGTGAAATCAAGCCACGAGCAGAGGGTCTCCATAAATGCCCTTTACTTATGAAAAGAAAAGCTTCCCCACGAAACATATTCAAACTGGAAAACAATCTTTTTGTTCCAACCATTATTTTGATCTTATAAGGACGACAGTGTCTTCACATAATTAAACTTTTCCAGCTCCTTCGGCCACAGCTGCGGAAGCACAGTCGCACTCACCCGGCCGTTCTCAGGATGTTACTGCTCCAATTTAGCGCCAGATGATGTGAAGTGAAACACAATTTCCCCTTTTTTAGGGCAAAACAGAGCAGAACAGAACTGCAAGGGGATCTTTCCCCTCCCCGCAACCCGGTCCTCTTTCCTCCAAAAGTTTTGCTTTGCTTTTGACTTTATTCTGATGCTGGTGCTGCATATTTCCTTGTTGAGAAAATGCAGAACTTACATCTTCTGTGGCACGGGGAAGATTTTTTTTCTTTCCTTTTGTGTGAAAGAGCAACGAGCATACCCCGAAGTCCCGGGTCTCTGCAGTTGGCTGCCACCCTTGAGTCGTCTCCAGCCGCTGACCCGCAGCGTCATGCCCCTGGCCCGCAGCGTCATGCCCCTGGCCAACTGCTCCGTGCACAGCGCGGCGGTGGAGGGGTCGCTGGCCGTGCTGCTCGTGCTGGAGTGCGGGCTGGGCCTCGTGGGCAATGCCATCGCGCTGTGGACATTCTGCTTCCGTCTGAAGGTGTGGAAGCCCTACGCCGTCTACCTGTTCAACCTGGTCATCGCCGACCTCCTGCTGACCCTCTGCCTGCCCTTCCACGCCGCCTCCTACCTGACACACAAGACCTGGAGCCTTGGACTCTCGGCCTGCCAAACCCTCATCTTCCTGCGGGCCCTCAGCCGCGGGGTGGGCGTTGCTTTCCTCACGGCCGTGGCTTTAGACCGTTATCTCCGAGTGGTCCACCCGAGGCTCAAGGTCAACCTTCTGTCCCTGCGGGCAGCCTGGGGCATCTCCGTCCTCGTCTGGCTCCTGATGGCAGCCCTCAGCCACCAGAGCTTGTTCATCTCGGAGGCTGCGTGCCCCACTTTCGAGCCCCAAGGAGATTTCTCCTTCAGCGTTATCTGGCAGAAAGTGCTCTTCCTCCTCCAAATTATTCTTCCCTTTGGCCTCATCTTGTTCTGCAATGCCAGGATCATCAGGATTCTCCAGAAGAGGCTCCGAGACCCCGACAAGCAGCCCAAGCTGCAGAGGGCCCAGGCTCTGGTGGCCGTGGTCGTGGTGCTGTTTGCCCTGTGCTTTCTGCCCAGCTTCGTGGCCCGAATCTTGCTAACCATCTTCCGGAGGTCAGACAGCTGCAGGGTCCGGAGAGCCCTGGAGCACTTGTCCGACGTGACCAGCAGCCTCACCTACCTGCAGAGCGTGCTGAACCCGGTGGTGTACTGCTTCTCGAACCCCACCTTCAGACTCTCCTATCGCAAGGTCTTCTACACACTCAGAGGCCGAGGGCAGGAAGCAGAGGCCACATGCTGCGACCTCAAAGACTCCTACTCGTGAGGACAGTGAGCTCCCTCACCCCCGTGTGGATGAGAACCCCCTGGGATCTAAGTAAGAATGGCCATGAGGCAGGATTCTGGAAGAAGAGGAAACCTTGAGACTCCACCACAAAGATCGGGGAACAGACTTGGACATAACTGCCCCAAATGGCACTAAATATTTTCTTTTCCAAGATTTTCTTCTGCTGTTTTACGTAACTAGAGCAGCAGATCAAAATTAGGAGGCTGGGCCTCCCTTTATACACGATGAGGAGGAAATGGCTAAATTGAAGACTCCAGCAGCCACTACACACCCATTCCCGAGTTAAAGGGCCTGGATGGACGAGCAACGGAGGAGGAGAGGCTGCGGGCTCGTTTCATTCTCACTCTGGTCTCGGCAAGTCGGTTTCATTTCTGTGCTTCAGATTGTAAATACCCAAAATCTCTGCTTTCTTCTCACCTATTGCACAGACTGGTGACAACCGACACGGGAAAGTCAGGACTTTGGGGTTCTGCGAAGAGATTCAGGGTATGTAAGTTGTCTTCCACGCTAGGCTCTCCTGAGCACATAAGGTTTTTAGTTTTATAAAATCTCACTGCATTTGTATAGATGATACTCCACAGCAAAGACAATGCAGTTAGTTCCCTGGTTTATTATAAGAAACATTTTCTTACTAAATTTCTCAAAATGGCCTCTAGAACTGTTGTTTTTTCTTTTTCACTTTGAATGCCTAAATGCCTTTACAATTTACTTTGCCTCCCCCGCTATGAAGACAGTCAGTACTTTATGCTTCCCGGTGTGAGATACCCAAGTGCCTGTGAACTGGTGATTTCCAACCCTAAACCATGACTAACGGGTGCAGAAGGGCACCAGGGGCTGGGGTGGGAGGTGGTACCTGCCTTCTCTGCACAGGTGGGAGACACCACAGAGAAGTGGGTACCGCCTGCAACCCCGGCTCCTGGACACGCCGGCAAAGGCTGCATCTTTTCATCTCATGCCTCCCCAGTGATGCCCCAGCCTTGTAGCTCATGTTGGTGACAAAGGATTTTGAAAGTCACCTTCCTAACAGCTTTATGTTTCATTCTCTGTTCAGACCTGGAAGGATGGTCCCAAAAGGGGGTCACCAAAATGCTTGAGGTCTACTTTGTCATGACATGGGTCCCTGCAGCTCCACACCTGTCAGCCTTACCTGGAGCTGCACCTGTGTTGTCCACATGGAGAGACCGCTGCTTTCCCAGGCAGACGCATGATCTCTGTAATATTTAAGGTTAAAAGCGACGGCATTAGGCAAGAGAAAATGGCAAAACTCCTCCCCCCCCTTCCCGGAACTGTGTGCCTCCCAGGTAGGCTCCTTATCAGAACCAAACTTGCAATGCTAGGGTCTTCCTTCTACTGTGCTTCTGCCACGTGTGTGAAAACCCACCTGACAGAGGGAGAGGAATGTGCCCAATAGCTCCCAGGGGAACATGAATCTGATCAGAAAGCCTTTGCCACTTTCTCCTAAGTGAACAGACTTCCAAGGACTCAGAAGGGGAACGTGCCCAGAGGAGGATGTGAAAAGTCTGAATAAAACTCTCTGATGCAAACACATCCTACACCGCCCCTGTTTTCTTTTTTCCTTTGAAAAGAAATGTCTCATTTTGCTTCCCCTGAACGTACGGCACACACAACTTTAAGTGCTGCTTTTAAACAAAACCTAACATTTAACATAAACATTTTCCATATTATGATAAACTCCCCATAGGCCTTCTTCGCTTGATTACCCAAATGTCTATCCAGGGGATGCGTCTTAACCATTTTCCTGCCTTTGGACGTGGAGATCCGTGACTCTCTACACAGGTAAATCCACACTGTGAAGTCACATAGACATGGAACAGATGCCATGGCAACCGCATGTGTCCTTGGGTGGGACAAAAACAGCCACCTAAAAGGCTTGCCAGCAAGCACGACCAAGCATGCAGGGCCCCCGCTGGCCCTTCGCTTGGGCATGGCATCCACTCCAGGGGCACAGCCACTAGCTGCTCCCTGCACCTCCCCGCTCACACCTTCAGCGTGGCAAATAGGGGCATCTCCTCACCCTGTTGCTGCCTCCTAGGGTCGACTGCTTCCTGGGCAGAGCCGGCCACCCTCCCCTTTGCTCAGCCGTGGTCCTAACGCAGCGCAGCTGGCTGGGCGATGGGGTGCTTTTAGAAAACCCTCCTGCCAGAGTCCACACTGGCCATCCTGACTCAGTTGGTCTGAGGAGGGATGTGGGCACCGGGATTTTTAATTTCCCTCATTCGTTGTGTTCATTTACAGCCAGGGCTGAGAGCCACTGGGTTCGTGGCCAAGGTCAGGGCCTTTGGCTCAGCCTCCCGCTTTGTCACTTCCCAGCTTTGTGACCTGGGACAAATCACCAAACTGCTCTGAACTTTCCTCTTCTGTAAAATGAGGAGACAAACCCTGACTTGTGGGTTATTGTGGGGATTAAAGAAAATCATACGTACGACCCTGCTGAACACCGAGCCCAGCACATGAGAAGAATTCAGGAGGTGCTTCTTTGCTATTTTCAAGTGATCCGTTTATCCTGTCACCTTTGTTGACACCCCAACCAGCCTGGGGCCCTTTGGGGACACAGCTTTGCACCCACACATCCTTCAACACAGAGTCTGCATACAATGGGTGCTCAGTGAACTGAATGCTGAAAATTTCTGCAAAATCAAGGGTTAATTACCATTCTTTCTTCTAGTAAATCCTTTCTGGATCTTTTCTAAGGAAGCTGACAAGTTTTATTCTGCACATCTGTGAAATGGGGCAGGTTTTTTTGTACATAGGAAGATTCAGGATGCTGTGAACACCCATCTCTGAGGATGCTCCTGTGGCATCCTGTCCCATTGCTCCTCTCCAAGACGCCCTGCAAATACTCAAAGGGCGTTCTCCCTTAAAGAGACGGAGTAACGAGGCTCTTAGCCTTCCCCAAATTATTCCCTCGGAGCAAGGAAATGACTCAAGAGGAGAGTGCGGGTAGACAACAGATGACGGGCCTCAGAACCGCAACTATTTTGCTGTCAGTAGCAAGTTTTAGTTTCTTTTCTCCAGTGACTGACTTCTTGTAATGAAGCAGGTGCACCATCATCTGTGCATCTTGCAAATCTCAGCATCATCTGAATCCCGGCATATTGGGTACTGAGAGCCAGGAGCCCGGATTTTGCTCCGAGTGATGGATGTCTTTCCTTATTCAGATCATGTGATCACTGTGTTAAAACGCTCTTAACCTTGTCGTTTCTCTTTCCAAAATCCGAGAGGCCACTGATTCCTCCTTGGCCATAAGTGAGTCCTCCAGATGCAGGACATCCTGCATGGGATGCTATAGTTTCTGTTTCTTGCAAATTCCTACCCACCTGTTCTGGTCTTGCCCCTGACACCTGCCTTCTGTGTGGAACCTCACTGACAAGACCCCTCCTGGACCCCAACACAGCGAGTAATTCATTCTCCCACCCTGAAGGCCGGCCTGTGGTGCTCACGTCTGCTTTTTCCATGTCGGCTCCTCAAAGCTCACACGGCATCACTTCCTCTTTGCATCCCAAGCACTTTGCCCAGGGCCTGGAACACAGTGGACGCTTAATAAATTTGTGGAATAAATAATTAATGAACGAACAATGAACCTCACTTAAAGTTAACAATTTAACTTTATTAATTATGTAATAGGTTGATTTTCTTTTTTAAATCTACTTTGAAGTTTGGATCCAGAGGCAAACTTAAAATTATATCTCCAAGAATCTTCTGGGAAGACACTAACACGAAAGAAAATACCATCATTTTCATAGCTATTGGAGAAAGCTGTTCCTCTGCATTTTCATAACCATTTCTGCCAATAAGTCAGTCAACAATTTTGATTTATTTAGGTTTAGGATAATGAGCGGACTCCACGTTTGCCTGAGGGCTTGGTTGGGGGCTGTGAAATGCCTCATGTGACAGAGGTTTCCAGAACATACTGCTAGAGTTCATAGGGTCCCCAAACAATAGGAATCCTCAAAATGCCTCTTTTTTAAATTGTGGTAAAATACACATAAAATTTACCATCTTAACCATTTTCAAGTGCACGGTTCAGTGGCATTGAGCGCATTCTCATTGTTGTGCGACCATCCCTACCATCCATCTCCAGAACTCTTTCATCTTCCAAAACTGAAACTCTGTCCCCATTAAATAGCAACTCCCCTTTCCCGCGTCCCCTTCCCCAGGCTCTGGCACCACCATCCTACTTTCTGATTCTGTGAATTTGACTATCTAGGGGGGACCTCATATGAGTGGAATCACACAGTATTTGTCTTTTTGTGACTGGCTTATTTCACTCAACATAATGTCTTCAAGGTTCAACCATGGTGTGGCATGTGTCAGAATTTCTCCTCCCTAAGGTTGAATAAACTTCCCTGGCATGTAGCTACCCCATTTGGTTCATCTATCCATCCATCCATCCGTCCATCCGTGCACCCTGGGGTTGCTTCCACCTTTTGGCTGTTGTGAATAATGCTGTTATGACCACAGGTGTACACGCATCTCTTTGAGTCCCTCTTTCACTTCTTTCACGTAGGTACCCAGAAGTGGCGTTGCTGGACCATATGATAATTCTAGTTTCCATTTTCCAAGGAATCGCCATACTCTTTTCTACAGTGGCTGCACCATTTTACATTCCCACCAGCAGTGCACAAGGGTGCAAATTTCTCCACATGCTCATCAATAATTCTCTTCCTTTTTTTTAATAGTAGCCACGCTCATGGGTGTGAAGTACAGAAAGTTCTCTTTGAAAATCAGAAAATGCTTAGTACCTTCAGACACTAAGAAGAAATCCCTGTGCCAGAATCCCGGAAACCCAACCGGGCCCACAATGAATTCATAATGAGGCCACACAGTCTCAGTTTCAAGTTTCTTTTTCACCGAAACCATAGGCCAGAGGACAAGTGCTGGTGAACACTGTCAGAGAAGCCGTCACCTGGATGCCAGAGCCTGGGGACCTTCCCCGTCAGTAGGATCTGGAGCTCTGACCCCAGGCTCTGAAGTCAGAATGGGACACCAGGCTGTGGGTACCCCAGGCGGGGAGCTCTGAGGCCTTAATTTGAGTTTTAGCCCCACTGCTCACTGGCTGTGTGACCTAGGGCACATGGCCATGTGGAGCCTACATTTTCCCCTGAAAAATTAGCACACTTTCCTCAAAGGGTCCTTGGGATGACTGGCTGAGGCACAGAAGCCCTTTGTAAATGGGGACCGCACAGAGAGGGGGAGAATTCCGCTCCTCGGCAGCCAGCCCTGCTCCACTGCCACCGGAGGACCAGGCTTCCCAGAGGACAATACGAAGGACGACGACCTCTCCACACTTGACACCAGTGGAACAGGGACCCTGAAGAGACATAATAGTTTGTGGGTTGTGATCAGAAAACAGAAGAACAGCGGAATGCAAATGGCTTCTCTTTTCCTATCACTGGGCAGAGCTCCCTCCTCCATCCCACATCCTAGCACGCACCCTGTCCCAGCCCCCACCTTCCTCCTTCCTCTCTGCTTAGAGCATCCTTACTCCTGCTCCAGGACATTTCAAGGCCTGGTCTCCTAAGTGATCTCCCTTTCACGAGAATTCCAGGGACACCTCCATGGCCCTGGCTGGTCCTTGATCGTCTCCTCCTCCATAGCCTGACAAAATTCCCATAAGTCAGGCAGGCTGTTGGAGGGTGTCAACAGTCTGCACTCACACACACAGTGCCTTCTGTGCCTCTATAAGCCACCACAGTCCAAAATATTAAATGCACCGTCGCAGTTGCCATAATAAGTGATTCTTGTTTACAAAACCAGTGAGGGAAACAAGGAAAGTATTATTGCCCCCCATCTACAGACGAGCCCACCGAGGCTCTGAGAGGTTCAAAACTCTGGCCAGGACCACACAGTTACTAAGTGACAAAATCGGGACGCCTAATGCCCAATTGGAAGAGGTTGGACCCAAGAGTTTACGGAGAGAAAAGAAAATAACAGAGCATGGATTATACATCAAGTCTTTCTAGACACAGGGGTACAGAGTTGAAAAGATGGCCCCTCACCACAGAACTCACCCCTTGGGGGCCTTTTGTCATTCGAGCAAGAATGTGATGCTTTCCCGGCTGCTGTAAGTGGGTATCACAAAGTGGGATCAGAGCCGCAGCCCAAGCCAAGAAGTCAGGGACAGGGCGACGGGTGAGGAGCTGGAAGTGGTAGTAAGATGCATTTCTTCGTCCATCTGTGCATTAATTAGACAAGTGTGCGTGAGTGTGGAAGCACATGCCGGACGTTGGCCATCGCTGGTCCTGCCCTGGTGACAGCTTCTCTCCAGCTGGACACAGACTCTAAAAAGTAAAATATGGAGAACGAATGGAGGAAGGAGCATGTGAGATGCTTGGAGGCCCCCAAGAGCCAGCAGTGTCGGAAGATAATAGTGGGGACCATCCTGGGTGGGGAGGTCAGGGGGCCCCACCGAGAAGCTAGCGCTCCAGTGAAACCTGGCAGGATGAGCAAGCACCATCTATGCCAGAGAGGAGCAACCGGGCAGAGGGTGGGACAGGCCCCAGCAGGAAGATGGGGCCTCTGGGAGG